AAACTTTTTCATAATAAATTTACTCTCGATTCAGTAAATACTCTCAGACGAGTATTGGTAGTCAATACAAAAATTCCCAGTAAAATTTCATACGTCTTTGGAAAAACAATATTTCAATATGGAAAAATCAAAAGTTACTGTACTTAGTTTTATATATTTACATTTTAACTACATGCCCTTTGGCGTAGACTTTAGTTACAATGTTAGATTTTTTAAAATTAATCAATAGGGAAGTTTGGTACATTTTTTATTTTGTGCTTTCCTATTTGGAACCACTTGGGCTATAATTAATAAATTTTTATACCGTCAAATTCAAAATAATATTACTATGGTATTGCATGTGAGTTTAGTCGAAACTTACCATATTTCTGATGAGACTTTACGATATTAGCAATTTAATCACAGAATACTATTATAATTACAAGAATTAATGACATAACAGTGAAAAATAGCAGAATTAATGTCAAAATAACTAACATTATTTAAATATTATACAAGAAATAGATGTTACCTTACGGAACTCCATATCATTGGTTATTTAATTAGAATTATTTTGTTTAATTCCGCTACCATTACAATGTATGTGACGGCCAACACTCGAAGATTGACCACCTCGTTTAGAGTTGAAACACGTGTCGCAAAATGTGCGTGGACGAAATGGCGGTCGGAAATTAAGAACTAATATGGAAGGTTGTAGAACTTCTAGTAATAATGATAATGTCAAAATAAATGTCACTCTTCGAGTATTAACAGTCACACACGTCCTAATGGTAGCGACATTAAACAAAATAATTATAATCAATTAACCAGTAATTTATTTAAATTCTAGTTTGAAACTGAAAATACGCAATACCCGATATCTTTAGTATGTGTAATCGTAGAAACATTAATAATGTAAATGCGTTTGACGTCACTATACCCAAATAGTTACACTGTCGACTAAATTTGCTACATTTAACAAAGAACTCGCCTCAGAGCTATTTAAATATTCAAACATATCAAGACTGAGGAAACGACAATATGTCAGCTAATCCTTAACGCTAATTTACTTCGGCTTCACATATAAAAGATGCATTATGGATAAGATCTTAACTGCCAGTTGATAGGATATATTTATTTGAAAATTCTTGTGGTATTCTAATTCACTGATTGCATTTTTTACTTATTAATGAATTTGAAATTAATATAAACTCTTTATTGTTTCTTTCAAAAAAAGATACAATTACATAAAAATATGTACACAAAAATATCACAATTATAAGAAGAACGATAGAGTCAACAATAGACAGCCTTATTGCTAAATAATCTCTGTTAAAATCTCCTTTATTTTTTTTAACAGAGGGAGACTTTGTACAAAAGTCGTTTGCTTAGGTACCTCTGTTCCATTCGTGTTTCAACCGTGAAGCAGTTGTGTTTGCATGGCTGTATTTCGGTTTGAAGGGTGGGATATGGCGTGAATTTACTGGGTACAGAGGTATAACATCTTAGTCCACAGGAATGACAACGCATGCGGGGTATCATGGATGAAACAATATACTCTATTATGTCCATGGTACTGTTTTTGTCTATAGGCGATAGTTGCCACATTCCGTCAGGTGGACCGTCAACTTGTTTGCCATTCTAGTTGAATAAAAAAATATTTAAATATCTAGTCCAATTTAGTACTGCTGTTTTAGTGTTGCTTTTTTCTTTAATTTTTACCCGCAACTTCGACCACCTCACCGGATATGTTCACTGTGCCGGATAGTAAAAAAAAGTAGCCTATGTCCTTTTTCATCCTATATAGTACTTATATCTATACCAAATTTACATTATTTAAGCTATAAAGCGCTTAAGCTATAAGGTAACAAACAAACTTACTTTCTCATTTCTAATATTAATAAGGAATATTTTATTATTGGATGTTATACAAATTAGTATTTTCAATACAACATCCGCAGAGCAATGAAAAAAGAAGCTAAATATGCATGTATGTTCATTAAGAATTCAGTATCAAATCCAAACAATAGGTTAATTCACGCGGATAAAACTGTTTAAATAAGTATTGGACATTCCCGAACTATTTCATAAATTAGCAGAGTTTACGATTCTGTCCGTTAAATTCTAACTCAAATCACCTTTATTCAAATAAACTAATTTACAAGCTCTTTTAAATCTGAATCTTTTTTTCTGAATTTACTGCAAGGTTCGGAAAATTGTCATTTATTTATTTATTATTTATTTATTTATAGGATTACCAACATAAGATACAGCTACAATAAAGCCAAATTTTAATAAAATACACTGGCAGATCAGATCTCACTGTTCTTACATTTATAGAGATCATTTGCTGAGAAGAAACCACAAGAAACTCAACAGTTCTAAACTCTTATTTTCGGTTAACATTATGTACAACAACAAACAACAACAAATTACATGCTCATTAAAAAGCCTATACATAAAATCGACTGTGTAAATATTCTATGACTAAAATTACATATCCATTAAAAAGTTTGTTCATAATTGACTAACTATGTACATAATACCTTCATTGAAGTTTCAAAATAAACGTGTATTTTCCTTTAAAAGTAGTTTTCCTAAAGCAATTGTTCTAAGTAAAATATCAATCATGGGTAAAGATAGATAGCAGGGAATTGAGTGACAGGCTTAATGTCCGATATCCGCGGTCGCCGCCTAACAATACCACTACCGGGGGGCTTGTATCCGACCACTTCATTCATTATTTATAAGCATAATTGCTCGCTACTGTAAACACTGTACCTTTATACTAGATTTTATAGTGCTGAATATATTATATTATTCAGTAACAATACCCGACGACCTTGGGTGTAGCGATTTAATAATTCTTCCGATAGTTGCCAATACAATCTCGTTTACATATAAAAATATCATAAATATGATTTTGTGATTTCGTGTCGTTTTAAATATATCTTTATGATAATAATAAAATCTAGTGTATGTTTTTCTTGGTACACTATCTAGAAGTAATCCATTTAATTGGTATTTTACTTCTGTAATCCACCCGTACGAAGTAGCGGGCGAAAGCTAGTATTATCCTTAACTAATATTATAAATGGAAAAGTGTTTGTTTGTTACGCTTTTACGTCTTACACTTCACGCTTATTTGTCTAACTTGCATATAAAAAGTCTAAACCGCAGAATCAATTATAATGAAGTTGGGAGACGGTTATAGGCGACTTTTTCTCCCGGTCAGTAAACACATATCGGTCACGCGGACAAAGTCACGGGTAAAAATTAGAATAGAATATTCTACATATCATAAATATTCTACAATTCAACTAAAGGTTTCTATGAAATACTTGAAGTATATTTTGTATAGTTACAAACATATACGCTCATGACTATGCTAATCGATAATCCATAATACAGCCACCTCTAGGTAATGTTTATATGAATATTAACACGCGATATAAAACGATCCAATGTGTTATTACCTCAGTCCGTTTTGGTAATTGAATTTCAGAACTAGCTGCGAAATTGACGTTCAATAAAGGCAAGAGAACGAACTAACAAATAAAATAACTTTATGAAAATTATAGTTTTATACTGTTTTTTAATCAAATAACGTTAGGATATTGTTTTTTTTTTAATTATTAGTAGCAATCCGCCTCGGCTTCGCACCAGTAGATAAATAGTAAGATAAATTAGTATTTACCATTATCTTTAATGTAATAAATTTTGATACTTAACACTATGGATTACATTACTGTAATTTTAGTATGGCTCTCCAGTTCTTTTTTTAATATATATATATATATATATATATATATATATATATATATATATATATATATATATATATATATATATACGACTATGACGATATAGATTCTAGTTTAGTCGCTACTAATGTAACTTTCCGTAGGTGACATTTCTTTTGAAATCAGATAATTAAATCCATCTTTATGATTTTAATATATAAATAGTAAATCCTTAGTAAACTGAAAATTTATTCAATAATATTGGACTGGATAAACCACTGTGTGTAATACCAATTAATATAACTCTCACGCATATTCTATTAGATTATTCCCTGTTCCAACTCTAGTTACCTATCTATGTTCACATAAATACTTTTAGAATGTAAAACTAAATATCAATAGTTTTTATTCTCTATCCTTATTGACAAAATTCCCCCGAAAAACGATTAATCTTAGCCTTATTAAAATAATGTCGCGTGCGGTTTCCAAGATCCATGCTCCTCCATGACCTTCCTTACCTGTTGCTTACGCCCAGAGAAAGTGACGCGGCGAAAATGCGCCGTCGTGCGTCGCCCTCCGGGTTACCAGTCTTCACCGAAATCCGGTATATTAGGAAAATGTTTGTGCCTACAATGTATTTCTCTACTGATAACGCAAAAAAAATTATTGCAAATAATTTAAAATAAATTCGTTTAATTCAAATGACACCCGGCCTGGGAGTCAAACCGATAAAATAAATTAAATATCTATTTTTTTTATTTAAATATCTATCAAAGGTCATAGAATTTTTACTAAAATAAAATAAATAATAATATATATATAATAAGAAACTCTTTATAATATTATTACATTAGTATTGGACAATCTTTATAACATTAGTACTGGACATGTGGGTTTGTAATTTATTATTTTTACTACAAATTGAATAAACAGCGTAATATCAAAAGCCGTTTGCTAACCGTCTTATATCGACTTCTATTTATTACCTACACAGAACGAGAGCAATTACACTGATAGGCTTTCAGCTTGCTATAAACGCTTGCACTAGTTACGCACCGTAAACATCTACGTAAATTGGAAGCACACGTTGAAAGCACACCAATGTATTACACTCATTTGGTCTTAAATTGTGTATCGTATCTGATCAAAACATCATTACACGGATGGGTACATTCCAAACGAGACAACCGTAGCCTAATATGGGGTAAGGTCGTATAAGGACGGCATGTTGGCAACACAGGGTGCCCGGGCGGCTTCAGTCTGCGCGAGCTTTCAGCCGCGCTGACCGCTTCGGCACGGCTAGTCTTAGTGATAAGTGATAATAATACCGCACACCAATAACCATATATAACCTTATACGTGTGTTGAATATATGTTGTACTATTTCACCTTCTTCCAATTAGTGCCCAAATTACTTTTAAAAGACTTCGAATACTGTAGTGTTCAAAGTGATAATTGACGATCCGCATATTTTAAAGTATTTAGAGTTATTTATTTATATATATAAATAATTAAAAATATCTCCTCTTACTTTTACACATATTATATTCGGCTTATAATTATATATATAATATTTTATATGACATTTATTACCCCCATTTAATTCTAATACAAGTAAACCCCAGTATGAATACTACCTACTACTCGTGTAATACGTTCAAAATTCTAAAATAAATTTCTTTCGATTAAATATATATATATACAGAAATAAATACTACTGTAATACAATTTAACGTTCTAGTCCTCAACATTAATAAATCCTTTGCTGATAGAATCACAGTCCATAGCTCTACGTGAAAATTTAAATAAATTCGCTATCTCGCCAGATTATCTATCCCAAGAGAATAGTCTCGACGCAACAGTTAGCCCATTACCCTGTGTCAGCAGACCCCACGTTCCGACTTCAACTATTGTATGTATTCCGTTAATCCAATCTATCACGATCTATAACACTTATTTCCCATTACAAATAGCAGATTCTTGATATAATATGAAAACGTTTCTTTATACGTCATATACGTGTAACAAACTTCTATATGATATACACGCTTAATTTTAGATAAAACGCTGCTGCTCCTTGCTTAAAGAGAAGACGTCTTACGGGAGTGCTTTGATTTAGAGCGTCGCGTAATTAAAATTCTGTCAGAGTGTAATTAGATTTATGATGCTTTCAGTACCCATTCATTGAGTCCATTTACTGCAGAAGATTATACTTTATAATTTTATACGTAGAACGTCGAATTATGTACGTTAACGTTATTGATTCTTTAGTATTTATCGTTTTTATTTTTGGCGCCCAACGTGGGGCTAAACAATCGGCCTTCACTAAACAAATAATGCTGAATACGTGAGAATAACACGTCACCAGTGGCTTTTACCTGCGTCATGGTGATAATAGAATAAAATATTAAATCAATATCGATAATTACTTAAACTTCTAGTCTCTATATTATTTCGGGTGCTTAGCTTCTGAATGGTATTTTTTGTGTTCTTATTTTAGACCTAACATTAATGTACATGGACATCACGGAATATACTGTGTTGTGTATATCCTTAAAGTTAACGTGGTCATTCTTTATGACAAAAAAATATGATCGTTCGAACTTCAGCTATATTTAATCACATAATTAAATTCATAAATTTTATTAATTTTAACTTTTTTACTGTAACCACTTTTTTTTATATTGTAGAAAAACATTAATATACCAATTTCAACCTGCTTTTCCTACATGAATATCCATGTTATCTGCTCTAGATAATATATGTATGTCCCATTTATAATTTGAAATTAGAATATGTTACGCTGTTTAAACATGATTAAAAACAAGCTCCCATATATTGCATATATCTTTTCAAAATTCACACTTATAATGAAAGTAGAAAAGTAAAATTTACATTGGCTGGATTTACAATATATAATCAAGATTTAAAATTTCAATTATTTTATTAATTTGATATCGTGATACTCTAACTGCAATGTGTAAATAAACAAACGCCTACGGCTACCGTCTCTCGTAACTTTAGCGTACAACCGGCGCCCACGCAGTACAAGAACTGTCTGTGACCCGCTATACAGGCGCCAAGCCCTCTGCCAGGACGTTAAATCTATTTTTCTTTTAATATTATGGTAATAGGACAACATTGTAATCTTCAATCATGTCTATTATGAGACGCTATAATAAAATGAGAATAATTTTAATGCCTTCTAATTATCTGTTTACATACTGAGAAACGTTTATTATTAAATGACACATTCTCCTATAAAATTACTTATTGAAAGGAATAATAATTTAATAACACTGAAACTTGGTTTATTTCTTTTGCCCAGGGCTACTAATTAATTTATTGAATAAATAATAATTTATTACAAGTGAAAATATGTCTATAACACACGATACCTCTAATGTTGTAAGCGTTCATAGGTTGCAATTAACGCCTTTGAGGCATACAAGAAGCCTCTCATTATTTTATTAAAAAATAATGCCCATAGCTAAAATAAATGGTTGTTAATTTATCAGCAAGTCAGACAAAGCAAATAAGCACTTAATAAATACATAAAGATATCTAATCCCTCAGATAGGAGGAAAAAGGAATATTAGTAATGGAGTATTACAGTCTCATTGCTGGCAATATACTCTGTGACGTCGACCTCCATGCGGTTCCGCCTGGAAACCATTGTGGTTTTTTCTTGTATAATTCGTCAGTATGGGCTAACTGACTTACCTAAATGCTTACTTATCATCTTTCGCTGGTGCCCCGCTAATGTATATTGATAGTGCAGGCGAAGTATCTATCCCACTTTCTCTCATAAAAATCCTTATATTGATCTTTAAAAAATTTTAAATCAACCAGTACAATAGAACTTTCTTTTAAAACTAATTTCTTTTTAGACAACTATCAGCACAATTAGAATAAAAACAACGACATCAAACCTAATACAAACATTTGCAATAAGGCCTAATGTGTGATATTAAAGTGATGTGAAAGTATAAACTTATGACTCTAGTATAGTGTGAGTTTGCCTCAAAATGAGCGGACTCGGCCCTCCAGGAGTGTGGGCCGCGCAGAAACGGCTCGAGTCATGGGCGCGGGCAGCCAGAGAACGCACCTCCAGCGCTTCAAGCGGTCAAAGTCACAACTCGACCGATAGCTTTGGTGATGAAAAGTCCCACAGTAGTCCTAGTGTGCGTATTTTATACTTATAATATCTTGCAATTGGAGTTAGTTATGCAGGCTACGGTAACCACTTACCATCAGGTGGGCCGTATGCTTGTGTGCCACCTCACTGGTATAAAAAGAAATCTCTTATAGACATTTCAGGTAATATGGCTATTTTCTGCATAACTAGCTCTAATTTAATTAAATAGCACTTGTTTTAGTTATTCGCTTTACGAAAAATAACGTCTTATATTATATCAAAACGACTAAATGTGATATTTGATTGAAAATATTTGGTTCGTAAAAAGAAGTGTCTTCGTAAAATAAAATTTTCGGAATCGGTTTACAATTGATTCAATATACATATTTCTATTAGTGTAGTGTAAGTTTATCCCAGAATAAGCGAACTCAGCGTGAATACGTGTGAGAACGCTCCCCTAACGTGTCAAGCAGGCAAAACCAATTCGACCTACCTTAGGTTATGAGAAATCCCATAGTAATTCTAACCTGCGTACTTTGCCTACAATTGTGATTAAAAACTAATATAATTATCTAAATCAGCTTCGAATTATTGATGAAAGAAATGCGTATATATACACACATATCGTTAATTTCTCCATTTATCACATACTAACACTTTATGTGTAGAAAAGTTACTATTTAATTTGCTAAATAAAATAAAATTTAACCTCTTATTCATAAAAACTAAATCGTTCTCCAGGCCTATTTCTTCTATTAGAGCATTTGGACACTTTCTTTTAAAATGAGAATTTATCATAATAGAAAAAGACAAAACGCTTCAAAATCTAAAATTGATTTATGAGATGTTTTTTTTTTTAATAAGAATTAAATTATAATAAACTAGCGCTGTCCTTTTCTAGCATGAAATCATTTTTTTTTTTTTAATAAATATATACTATATATATATATATATATATATATATATATATATATATATATATAAAATCTGTATATATAGTTTTTGAGTTTATCCATTACAAACATGCAAAAAATCAAATCTTTTCTCTTTGTAATATTATATATAAAAACGCATATCGAAATATAAGTTTTTTTTTACATTTTAATACAAAATCGATCATGTGTTGTTTATGATGGATGAACTTGTTACGTATTCTGATCGAGCTTGAGAAAAGTTGTGCAATTTCGTAAGAATTATCGGTGGATTTAGACATTTTACCCGACTGATGAAAAAGAAAAATATTACAGTATACTCTATTACTACATATTTTGCAAAATTTTATGTTATAATATATACATTTTATATTTTGATAAATGTATATTTACATATACCCCATATGTATTTATTTGTTTCTTTATTAAACTTTAATAAACCCAGAAAGTGTAAATGGCGGACATAACACCATATGGCGTTATCTACCAGTCGACAGTAAACAGGAATAACAGAAAATATAATTAACAGTGCCGAATGCATTTCAACGGAACGAACATCGTAATATTCGATGCTTGTAGGTATTAATTAAATTACGTCGTTTTTTTGTAGTTGCAATTAATAAATTTATTTCTAACCAACTGTATCTCGTGACTTCGCCCGCATAAATTAGTAAGTACAATAAAAGAACTTTAAAAAAATTTAAGCTATTAAAAAAAGGGGCTGAAAAATGAAAAATACTATTATACTTTAACAAAAAATAAAACTTTTAGTCTTTGTCCATACTTTAATGTAAATAATTTGGAATTACCTACTCCGTAATAATTAATTTGCATGCTAGTTTGTTCAGTGTCAACCGAAAAGTCTTCATAACTAATAGATTATCGTAAGACAGCGAAGAGCAGCATTTTCATCACTTAAGATTGAGCTTTATGAGAAATGCAGAAACTGAGAAATTTATACAAAACTTGAGGTAGCTATCAACGGTTGAGGAGTACCCTCAACTATCTTCCGTCTTCATCAACTTTCCGTTATCAGATCAACTTCAAATCTCCACCACGTTGTAGTGACATTAATATATATATATATATATATATATATATATATATATATATATATATATATATATATATATATATATATATATATATATATATATATATATATATCAATTTCGAGTTCGAGTATACCCCATACAATAAAAAAGATTTATTCAAATCGGACTACACTGTGTACAAAGTTACGCGTGGTCATATATAAAAATGATAAAATACGGGATAACTTGAGAACCTCCTCCATTTTTTAGCAGTTAATAATGTGCAGTCCTTTGTACTAAATTATGCAGATTTAGTACCTATTCATGTACCAAATTTAATCTAAATCCGTTTAGTAGTTTTTACATGAAAGACTAAAACCATCCATCCAACTTACGCATTTATAATATTAGTGAATAGGTGAGTACTACTTTAGATAAACATTAATGAATATCAAGTTTTAAATGTTAAATGAGTTTAAATACCTAAATTTACACATATGTAGACCTATTTATAAAATTTTAAATATCTAAGTTCCGATTGAGAAAATATCAGGCAAAAACAATACTAACTTAACGTTATTTTTGCCTGAAAGAAAATAATTTAAATCCGTTTAGCCGTGAAAGCCTGATTGGGTAACAAACATCTGTACAAACGTTCACATTTACAATATTTAGGTCCCGATATAGTGTGGCAACTGGATGCTAACCGTTTCAAATATTCACAGCCACTTTTGTTTGTCGCCAGAGCGCAGGTAATAAAGGCAGTCCAGCTGTGCGCCGCGCCCCCTGGCGAGGGTGTTCATTAAACTTACATTACATTTTGATGGCCACTGTCTCGTTACACGGGACGATTAATGTTAAACTTTGATTAAACTTTAACCGTTACACGTTGTACTCATAAATGTATACGAAAAGTTATAATTATCCTTCAAGAGTAAGTAGAAAATTAAATGTTCGTGTCTAACTTAATTATAACAAGAATATATACCAAACAACGGCTGTTACGTATTTACGTTAATTGTCTTAAAACGTCTACGATATTAGACAGTAATGAGATAAAAAGTGAATATAAACAAATCTTGTTGTATTTTGTAAATAACTTCAGTCGTAAAATTTGTATAAGACTCGTAATAATTCTAATAAAGTAAAAATAAAAGTTTAATAATTTATATTATTAAACTTTTATTTGATTATTGATTTAATTTCTTTTTGAAATTAAGAAAGAAAGAAATAATTACATTTCTTTTTGACGTTATACATAAACATTTAAATAATCATTTTTACGCCTATACAGAATATTGAAGACGAATCTTAAATTTTTATATCTTGCTGCGAAAAAAATCTAAGTTTAAGTGCAACACCATAGTCCTCGAAAATACCAACGCATGAAGGGTACAATTAGCGTCACAGTGTATTTGGTAATTCTCATGGCGCTTTATGTCAATAGACGACAGTGACCACGTTCCATCAGTTGGACCGATCAGTTTGTTTGCTATTGTTATCCTACCATGAACGCTCAGGTTATGGAATAAGTCGTAATATCGTGGTTTTTCCATAGGACTACGGCATGGCGTTTTTCAAAAAAGGGATAAAGAGATTTTTTCAGGGTCGTGCGCAACGCACAACGTGCGCATAATGCCCCTGGTATTGCAGGCGTTCATAGGCTACAGTCACCGCTTACTATAAGATGAGCCGTATGCTTATACGCCACCTCAGTTGTATAAAAAAGTAATTAGTAAAACTTATGTTGATTTTTTAAAATGGCAAACTGTGACTTCGGGGGGATCGGTAGTTAGTAATGCGGACTACCAGTCCCATTGCTAGCGATATACCCTATCAGGTGTTGAATTCTTGATGTATTATTCATCACGATGGGCTAACTAGCCTGCCTTTTCGCCTCAACTTTCGTTTCTCAATGGTTCCCCGCCAGCGTATACCGTTAGCGCAGGCGGGGTTACCACTCCATTGTCATACTGTAAAAAAACACTGTGAGTTCATTAATTTTCCGTTATATATGTATATAGACATTGTTTGCCATTCTAAGTACTAGAAATAAGTAAATAAAACCTATATCACTTTCACACTCTTTATCGGCTATATCTTCAAAATTGACAGTTCAATATAAATTTGTTTATTGTTTACAGGAGATGCTGATCTCAAAAGAGCATTGTCGCGTGCAACCCCTGAGCGAGCGCACCGCCAGTTCCCTACCTCACGCGCGCCTTACCCGAACGCCTTCTATCTCTTCCCAAAGCAGCCTTGACAGCGGCACCTCGAGGGCTACTGTAAGTACCTATTTTTTTAATAGGTGAAAGTAAATGGAGTAGTTACCCTGCCTGCGTTAACGATATAAATTGATTAACCATTAAAATATGATTGGTGGGGATGAAAGGAGCCAGTTGGCCCAACGTGACGTATTCGACAAAAATTAATCACGATGCTTTCCAGGGGAAATAGCTTGGAGGTTTAGCTGATAAGATATATTGTTAACAATAGGTCTGTAATGGGATCTCCATTACTAACAATTCTTGTGCCTCCAGTAACTGTCTATTGGCCACCACGTGACATCCAGCGAGGCATATCGATAGGCATTGCTTTATTTAATAGGGATCCGGGTTCGATTATGGGTTGGGCCAATTTAGAAATAAACTTTTCCAAATTCGCTCAGATGTGTATATTCTGGATAGTACCTCTAGATTTCCGTTGCTTAGTTCCTCGTATTACAGGGTATCCCAGCTTAAATAATAGGCGATTGGTATGATGGTGTGATACTTATTATTATAGAACGAAGAGTCATATCATTGACATAAAGTTTATGGATTTAAACGTATTATAGTCACTGTGATGCATATTACGGACTAGTTATGCAAAATAGTAGATTTTTTTTATTAACGAAAATGATGTAGAAACTCCGCCTGCGCTATTAATTTACGCTTTAGAGTATCAGCTAGGGATGATAAACAAAGATATAGTCAGATCAGATGGCTCGTCATTATTAATGTACATACTAAAAATACGAGTAATCGTGATGGTTTCCAGAAAGTATCACGTGGAAGTTACCATGATACAGTTATTAATAGTAATGCATCTTTTAGTCCCCTTATATATATATATATATATATATATATATATATATATATATATATATATATATATATATATATATATATATATATATATATATATATATATATATATATATATAAAATCCAAGTTATGAGGTTTTTAATGAAATATATATAGTCTTGTACTAAAATAGTTAATAATAACATATATATAGACCATCCATAGAGAATACTTTCCCATAGTTCTGCCTAGTTAAAATATAACAGATTAATTAAACTACTCACTATCATATTCATCATCATCATATCAGCCCTTAACCATCTACTGCTGCATATAAGCCTCCCCCTTGGGAGTTTTACCAATAGTTGCCATACTTGGCATGTGGATTGGCAACTGCAGTCAGACTAGAGATGTTTTAAAAGGGACGCTGCTGCCCATCCCTTGCCATCCCTTAGTCGTCTTTTATAACACCCACTGAAAAGAAAGTGGTGGCCTATTTTATGTCGGACTACTCGGCCAACTATCATATAGCATTATATTAATTTTAATTTGCAATACATTTACATTGCAACATCGCATAGTGGTGGATACATTATAAACAACTTCCATTGTAGTTCGTTGTTGCTTATTACACCGCCTACATGCCTTCGATACACTATGCGAATAGTCAGAAGGAATTAATAATGAGCACAAAACCTAAGATCCGACCACTTACAACCTCATTTCGCATGCAGTTTGTAAAGTTTCCAATTACGAGTATATATAACTGCCTTAATTAACTTAATACCTACCGTCAAAGGATTGATGTGTTTGTGCAAATCATTGTCAGAACACTTCGCAGAAGAAAATATTAATTAACAACGTAACGATACACCAATTAAGCTCAGAAGTACTTTATGGTCGTGACTGATCACCCGGATATTCATAGAAGGGGAAATATCTTCGAAAAAGACCCTGCAATATTTTGATATAAGGCTGAGCTGGTGTCCAATAGTTAATAAATAAATACCTAATTAATTATTTGCATCTAAACTTTTTTCATTTTAAACACTTATTTGCAATTTTGAATACATTTTAATTAAGTTTGCAACTTTTTTGCCATTTAAACTTTTAATAATTAATTATTTATTTATTTCAATGATTTAGTACATTCATTCATTCATTTTGAAAACGTACACAGGCGGATTTTACTTTACCTTTGTATATAAAGTATAACATATGCGGCGCTAGTAAAAAATCTAATAAAGATAAATGACATAAATTACTTACTGTATTACTAATTTTTCATTTTACTTCCATAGTTTACATTTTTCAAATAACTCTGTAGTTACGAGTATATTTCAATAGTTATTTCTAGCTAGCATAGCTATTGTTTATGCTGTGACTTCCTCTGCAGGACCAGGAAAAAATAATAGATAAAGATAAAAGTAACGTATATTTTATGCTAAAAATTATGTGTACATAATTATATAGAAAAGTTGATTGAGTTTAACAGCAATTTAGCAGAAACTACGAATATTATATATATTCTTTATTGCACAAAAACATACAGTAACAACAATAAGTTAATAACAATGTTAGCAAAGGCGGACTTATCTCTAAAAGAGATTTTTCAAATAACTGGCATAGGAAGTAGTTAGTAGTAGTGCAAGACAGAAATTTAAATAAATATTTACATAAATTATAAATAATTATATATATACACATACATTCACATATATACATACATACACATATATATACATATACACATACATATACACACATACATACACACGTTAAATACAACATATAAATATCAGATACAAGAGAACACAATGATGACAGTCTTCTAATCATTTTTATATTTAAATTAAATTGGAAAGATAAAATGATTTTAATCTTTTTTTGAAGGAACTGCTAGACGGGCTAAAGTTCACGGGAAGTTTATTCCACAGCTGTACAGCACGATTTTATGCATAAAAAAAAATTATGTGTACATAATAATTGAACCGGGAACGAAGGTAGGAAGGAGAATTGGGATCATTAAGGATATTATATAGGTTTAACATGTGTCTCATGACGATGTCTAATTGGGAGCCACTTTAAAACGGTACGAGACATGATCATATTTTTAAGCTGAAAATAAATTATAGCACTATTAAAACATTACATTCCTCTTATTCTTTAAGTTAAAAGTATTTGATAATGATTATTCAGTGTTTAGTTGAAGTTTTATAATGATATTAGCTTTTTGCTCGCTACTTTGTATGTGTAGATTTTAGAATTGGAAAAATCTAATGAAATAGACCAATTTTAAACGACGTATTAATATTTTTTTTTATACAACTTAGAATGGCAAACAAGCTGACAGCCCACCTGATGAAAAGTGGCAACCGTCGCCTATAGACATGAGCAGTACCATGGACATAACAGAGTATACTGTTTCGCCCATGATACCCCCCATGCGTTGCCATTGCTGAGGACTCAGGTGTTATTCCTCCGTACCCAGTAAATTCACGCCATATCCCACCCTTCAAACCGAAACACAGCCAAGCAAACAACTGCTTCACGGTTGTGTTTACATGATTTGGTGTACAATATTAGATGCTGTATGATGCAGGAACAAACATAAAGGCAGACTGCTCTCAGTAAGACCTCTCAAAATTATTTTTATAAATATAATATGTACAGATATCGTCTAGTTATAATTTTATTATATTAATAAGATAATAATAATAAGTTTGCTAATTCAATTTCATTTATTCGAACATACTCGTAAAAATAAAATATAAAATAATATAGATCACATAATACCTGTTCAACATGATCGTTAAATAAAATAGCTTCCCATGATAGAACAATTTTTGCTTTTAAAGCCAGCAAAATACAAAATAAACCTTAAAATGTGGCTACATCACCTAATGACCAAATACTGCCTCACGCAATTTGTAAGCACTTTGGTCCGGCTTCAGTGTTTTTAAGCGCTGCGTGTTGTTTATCTCCCTTTAATATATAGGTACCTGAAATATATTCCAATATGAACAGTTAAAAATAAATATCAAAATTAAGAATCGATATTACCTACTTAAGTTAAATAGAAAAGAACATACAATTTTACCATCAATCGATAATATTACTATCGAAAACAAAGAAATTTTCATTGCGTGGGATCTGTTATTCAGTATTTTGTCTCGGTACCTTCGAGTATAGCTTCGACACACGTATGCGTATTCAGGTTTGGGAACTCCAGAATGCGAGAGAAGAAAGAAAAACGTGTTTGATAGTTCATTAGCAGCCTTTTTAAAAGACTGCTCCTCATCCTCAAAATTATAAAATAATTTTTAATATGCCAATGGTAAAAAGTACGTGAAATTTTCAACGCGACAAACAACTTATAAATATATTTAGTTAAAGGAATTTAATGACAAAATTGTGGACATCAAAACTTCTTAATTACAGTTTCTGATAATTTAGGTCATTCAATTAGTCTTAAACTAAATAGTATTTATACTATGCACTATACATATAGATGTGGATAAATGAAACTAAATATGTATACTTTTTTAAAATTTTGCATTTACATATATGTATATGTAATACAGAAAATGCTCAGTCCAATACCAAACAGTCCTCGTGAATACAAATAATTTTGTATTATATGAGAATCGAACCCGCAACCATCGGAGGATAAGGTGGTATGCTATATCACAACACAACCGACCTCCTAATCAAATAACAAAGTTAAAATGTACTGACATATTTTTTTGTAAATTTAGTTAATATGACTACATATGCTCATGAAGGATATGACTTAATTTAAAGCTATAATCATCGTATGATGACTTTAAAACTGTACCTTTATATTCTCAGAGTCACCGGGGCTCCTCACCAGCAATTCGAACCTTCGCTCCAGACGGTCGCACTCTCGAGGCTGGCAGCACTGGTGTTCCGCGGTCGCCGTCTCCTCTTCGTGCGGCTTCCCTGGACGTCCGAGCTGCACCTCTAGCCCACGGATCCTTAGCATCATTAGCAGATTCACCAGCGCCTTCCAGTCCCAGACATTTACCGCCGAGATGTCTGTCACCGCTACTCATGCCACCAAGGTAATTATTTTTTATATAAAAAGAAATCCTACATACACAATCAGATCTAAAAACGACATTGAAAATACAGTGCATAAAAGTGTTAAATTAGACACTAGTTCTCAATTTAAAAAAGCTTGTAAACAAGTCTATTTGAATATAGATTAGATATTTGTTTTCTATCCTGTTCCTAATCATATATCACTATCAATATATATGCTTTTAATATATATAATATGCTTCTATATATAATATGCTTCTAATCAAACATATATACATATCTGTCATACAATCTAATGGGCCAAAATATTATAAAAATATATCTAATCATTTCTTTTCTTATTTACAGTAAATACTTAACTCTACTATTGTCTTGTTCAGTAATAACTATTTATTTTTCAATTAAAATTTTAAATAATTTAATATACAACATAACAAGTATACAAAAAAGCAACACTTATTTTTTTATATCAAAACTGTTTTGTATTCGAGTATCATTTTTATTTGTTTAGGGACAAAGTTTAAATTCCTTTATCATTAGATATCATATTCGTATTCTAAATATTTACCTAATTATTCATAAAAATTAAAACCTTTTACAAATCTATTTTTAATTAATACATTGTTTTGTCATTTTCTTTCAAATTGGGAATTTAACTCAAAGAAGGAGAAAGGACAATTCAATAGCTAAAATATGTTTATAAGAGAATTGACGTTTTTATGAATAAGATTAGCGTGTAAATTTATTGGTAACAAGCCGCCGAAAAGCGACGCATTATCGATGGAATCGCTGAAACTTGTAGCTTCGATGCGGTATCTCCACCATATCAAATTAAAATTCATTATAATCTATACTGTATGCTTACAACAAAGTTTATTCTCAACTATAAAGCGTGCAGCCACCAGAGGCCACAAACTTTAATATCACCAATTACAAACCCGTACCTCTCTGACACAATCTTCTAAATACAAATACCATAAAATTTCTTGCCGTTAGCAAATTTACAATTTCTACAGATACACCTACTTCAATTCCCTAAAAGGATTCCTTTATCAGATCTCCATGTCCGGACCTCCCTGATTAGGGACGTGCCTTAAATTGAATTTATGATCAAAAGCGGAGTTATAACCGAGTAGGCAGCATTTACGTATTTTATAAATAAAACTTTGTTCTATTAGGGTGGAATTTGTTAACGTCGTTTCATTTTCATTAGTCTAATGGTCAAAGTACGGCTACGTGGCCAAAGGTATCTAGGTATTTATAAGAATTCAACGCCTGTAAACAATGAAATTTCCACTAGGCATGGATAACATGGATATTGATTCGATATCGCCCATATTGGTCGGATATCTATTTTCTAATATGTTGAAAGTCTGTTATCCAAAAATAAATTTAACAGACTTTTAACATATTCGTTATTGGACTTACTATATATTATTTGCCCCTAGTTTCCACTTATAAAAACGTAAACTGTAAGCCGGGTGGTCCTGCAATAAAATAGGCCACCCCTTCCTTTCTCGTGGGTGTCGTTATAGGTGGCTAAGGGATGGCGAGGTTTGAGCAGCAGTGTCCCTCTTAAATCATCTCTAAAGCCTAATTGCCTGGTGTAGCAACTACAGGCAAAACTCCTTAAGAGGCAGGCTTATGTTCAGCAGTGGACAATTAAAGGCTGATATGATAATGATGATGAGACGTAAACGCTTGAGCTATGCATGAACAAACTTATCCTTATTTATCTTATAAGGTAGATACTAATCTGTTGAATTGAACTGAATGAGAACGTGGAATAAACGAATAATTGGCCCAACCATAAGCCAGTCTACTAATGTCCAATAGTAGTACAAATTAAATTACCAATTAATTGATTGAACGTATCGATTTATTACTAATTTCATTTAGAGAGTGTTTCTGTGTAAAAATTTAATAAAACAAGGTTATCTTTTCATTACGTAATATTGAAACAAACTGCAGTAAATATAGTATATAAAGTACGTAATATAAAGTATATAATTTAAATATAGAATATTACCAAAAGGAAACTGTACAAGAGTCGTTTGCTTGGGTACCTCTTTATTTCTAATATAACAATCCGCTTCGCACGATTATCAGCTTTTATTAAGTAAATTTTTAAAATCGATTCAGTAATTTCTTAGAATGGATAAACCATTATAAACAAAAAAATCATCTTTATAATAGTAACTTTAAATGGATATACTTTTTCAAAAAGCCGAAAACGCATCATCTCCTCTAGTGTTGCTGATGTTATTATTATTATGTCGTATAAAAAATATGTATATATTCATAGATAGCAGTAGCTTGTACAAAGGACTGTGTTTAGAGAAATAGCGTGCATGCGTGCGTGCGTGCGTGCGTGAGTGCGTGCGCGTGTACGTGCGTGTGTGCGTTCGTGCGTGTGTGTGTGCGTGTGTACGTGCGTGCGTGTGTGTGTATGTGTGTGTGTGTGTGTATACATATACATTTTAATTCTTTACCAACACCGTAAAATTCTCTATGTGAAAATAGTAGCTATCTATATAGTAGTAAGATGTTATATTTAAGCGTCTTCTATACACTGTATTATAGATCGGTCATCACAACTGATAGGTAGTTAGGTTGACACTTAATATTTTTCGTATTTCCGAATCCTCTTGAAATATCATCACCCATTTTCCCTCGATCTCGCGCTCGAATACGCACAAATATCGAACACAACAGTCGTGTGTCCGCTCGAGAATCAATCTGTTGCTAGTACCCAAACCAGGGTGGGATTTAGGGTATATAATAAATTCTGAAAAGGGCGCGGTAATTCAACACGATATCTATTCTTCACACGTAGTTATAAACGTTCTTTATATCAATCTTTAGGTATACTCTACTTCACTTTTACCACACGATACTCGCTGTAAAAAAAGTATTAATCTCATATTTATGTGAATCAGAAATATTCTAATTCATACAAATACGTGAAGCAGAGAGAGGCATATAACAATCTCACTGCTAACTCTCGATTCAGTAATTTTTAACTAATTTTTGTTTTGTGACTGATAATTAAGAAAGATATCCTCAGTATTATAGAAATATAAAAAAAAATCATTATTTCTCACTAATATTACTGTAACTTGTGTTATCACCAGCATTAATATAGGACGTAAAATATGTTCCATTCGTGTTTTCAAAAATGCTTTTAAATCTGTTCAGTTAATCTCAAACGTATTTTTAATATTAGTAGGTTTAATAGAATCAGGAAATATGACGTATTTTAAAATAATATTTTGGTTAAAATTGTATGCAGTGTGTAATAAATAAAGTAATACAAAAATGTGTTAACATTGTTAATTTCGCTAATCCCCTAACACCTACGGAATCTTTCGCACAATAAAGATTCCGTAGGTGTTAGGTATCGTATGCCTGAACACGGCATTATAAATTATAATATACATAGTTAATAATATAATTTACAGCGTCGAGCTCAGAGCGCTACGCCATCTAAATCCGTCACTGAGCTGAGTATGGATGCAAGCTCGTAAATTGAAATAAACTCAATTTTCGTCGCCCCCGACGCGTTCCCAACTCACTCTTGTTCTCTTAGCACTCTAAATTCGTGATAGGTATATCATGTAGGTATCTAGGTACCTATATGTTCTATCGACGAATAATTTGAGAAATTGTTATACTAGTTTATTAGTCTTAGTGTTATATATATATATATATATATATATATATATATATATATATATATATATATATATATACATATATTTTAAATAAAATATAAAAGATGATAATACTACTGTTATTAATAATAGTTCTAGTTTTCATTTACTTATCCTACACATACAATGTATACAAAGCAGATTAATAACATTCCCTCCCAATCAACTTATAGGAAAATAATAAAAACACGAATTAAAAAAAATTAGACTGATATGTTAAAAAATATGTTTTGTAATATCCAATATACGATTTCTAATGATCATTTTTGTAGAAACCAATATATTCTTATATTAATTTTCTAAAAATTGAACTATATTTTTTAGTGGAACAAAATAAAAAAAGCGAAAGTTTGTAACGATGAATGGAAGTTTGTTATTCTTTCGCGCAAATACTACTAAACAGATTTGAATGAAATTTGATGCACGTGTAAGTCACATCCTAATTTAACACATAAGGTATATTGATTCTAGAGGATGAAGTCGCGGGATACAGCTAGTAATCTATAAAAAATAAATACGACTAGTAAACAAATAAACAATAAGTAAATAAATGTTGATCTCTATATATTCCAGGAGGATAGACCGTAGCAACTCCTTAGTAGAAAGCAGCAGCGGACTCGGGCCCCTGAGTCCCGGTGCGGGGGCGGCAATCAGCGCCCTGGGGGCCCTGCAACCGGACCTGTACACAAAGAGGGAAGCGCCGCTCGTCATTGAACTTGAAGGTGCCGGACCGTCCCTTGGAAGGATCCATCTTCGATTGAAATATGACTTCGACAGATCTGATTTAGAAGTTCATCTTATTGAGGGTGAGTTTATTATAGGTTTTATATGTATACTTAATACGAATGTATTTGCAAACATAATGTCTAAGTAGGTATAAATGGTTATAAGTTGTCTAGTATGTAGGCATCAATAACACAAGCTCTGCTTAGTTGGAATTAGATCTTTTTTTTTATATCTTTTTTATTTAGAGGCTTTTATCCTATAAGGATATGTCAGCTTCATCATATCCTAATTTTATAAAATACGTCACATACTTAAAACATTAATACATAAATAAATAATACATAATATCTTAGTAGTCTATTTTCATAAAGGGAATTATTGATACAAAAATTATAATAATTAAAGATTTTGCCATTCCGGAATGTGGTTCTGCGTGGAATTAGATCATGCTGTATATATTCAATGATATTTATTATCTTTAATAATGAATATTTATAATTATTACCTTCATAGTAAATTTACACTTTATTAGCCCTAACATATTTTCAGGTAATATTTTATTAGAATAAATATAATAAGAAATTTATTATTACTTGTAAATGTATGGAGAGGACTATGCTCGGAGTCTCTTTGCGTGATAGAATCCGAAACGAGGATATCCCCAAAAAAATCAAAGTAACCGACATAGCTCGAAGGATAAGCAAGCTGAAGTGCCAATGGGCTGGTCACATGGCTCGAAGAAACGACAACTGATAGGGAAGAAAAGTTCTTGAGTGACGACCCCGTACAGGCAAACGCAGTGTAGGACGACCCCCACTAAATGGAGTGGCGACCTGAAATGCATTGCAAGTAGTCAGTGGATGCAGGTGGCTCAGGACCGTTCTTTATGACAGTCTATGGGGAGGCTTATGTCCAGCAGTGGACGAGTAATGATGTAGTAGGGATTTTATTTAATTACAGATTTAGATTTACTTACATATACATAGTTCACGTGTTACTTTTAGGTACTAAATGGTTTTTTATGATACGAGTAATGGTATGTTAACTCCGCCTGCACTATCGATGGACGAGAATAAAACAAATCAATTAGCCCATAGTGATGAATTCATCTGGAATTAACCACAATGGTTTCCAAGGAGGACCGCGTGGAAGTCGACCTGATATGGTATATTATACTGGTATTAATGGATTCATTGAACCTAATTACTAACAATCCAATCTCCCAGTACTAAACGGTAGCTTCACTAGACACAAAATTAATATGAAACTAACATGGAGAGCGAATTCTATCGGTTTTAAAAATAATTGTGAATATTGGGTCAAAATTACGTCAAATAGCCCCAAAAATCTAATTTTTTTTAGTAATAGCTGCAGATTTTCGAAAATCGCTTTTAAAAAAAATAGTTAATTAAAAAATCTTTTCAGCACATGACCTGGCCGGCTACGAGGCCGGTGGGTTCAACGATCCCTACGTGCGTGTCAGTTTACTACCGGAGGTTGACACCCGCGTCAGACAGACGCCCGTGCACCGGAACGAGGCGAATCCCTTCTTCGATCAGCACTTCAAGTTTCCTGTGTCGCACGATGAGCTCGGCGACAAGACGCTGTTATTGCAGGTGTTCGATTATGATAGGTAAGTATATTTAGTTTTCTCTTCTCTTTTCTGGTCTGGGTATTTGATCACCTGCTGCTACTATTTATCTTGATGAATCAACAATATCATATTTATTCATCATTTCATGTTAGCGGATTGTTAGAGACGACGAGGTTGGTAGAGACGCGTATTTCCAATGACTTGACTGAATCTCAACTCGTCATAGTCGTAAAATACTGACGGATCTGACGAAGATTACATATAAAGATCCGTCACTATTCTACGACTATGACGAACTGAGGTATATCATCTTCCTACCCTTATCCCAATTATTATTTGGGATCGATATAATATATTTTCTATCCATATGACAAAAATATTTAGCGTATAGTTTTACGTCCGGCCTGCCTGACGTCAACCTTCTTTGAGAATGCATTTGTTGGTAGTTCCCGCCACCACCACGGTATGGACGATTTAGGAAAAAAGGAAGGGAACGTTGGAAAAGCGTAAAAGAAATTAGTAAATAAGAGAAATAAAGAACTTATGCGGGAAAGGAAAGGGAGGGGAGGGATACTGCAGTTGCGGAAAGGACTGGGACACTATAGCGGCTCGGGAGGCCGGGGTCGCATATCCGTATGCCCTGTTCTAGAATCGGACAGATTTCTAGAGAAGGATACCCCTGACGCTAATTAAGTTATAATTGAGTTATAACTAACAATATTAACAAATAAACATAATCTTGTATACTAAATACAAATACAGCAAATTAAGACAAAAATAGTGGGCCGACACATTGACCTAGTACAGTTTTATTAATTTAGTACAGTGCAGTGCTAAATTAACAATTATTAAACATCTTAATAAACAAACAATTTCTTTACTGCACTGCACGCATTAATATAGATATGACTGCATATGCACTATTAAACATAGGCCGCCTCCATAAAGCTAACCACTTGCATCCGGGGGGAATGGGATTGTTAGTAATAGAGACTGAGAATCCCATTGCTTGCAATATACCCAACCAGGTCGACTTCCTCGCGGTTCCCCTTGGAAACTATCATATTTAATTCCTGATGAATTCATCATGATGGGCTAACTGGCCTATTTTCATTTTCATCGATCATCCTTCACTGGTGCTCCGCCAGCGTATACCGGTAGCGCAAGTGGATGGCGCATTTTCATCCATAAAAAAAAACCAATTGCATCCATTGACTTCCTGCAATGCATTTGACGTCATCGCTCTAATAAGGATTCGTCCTATACTGTGTTTGGGAATATACTTACCTACTTATTGTTCTATATATATTTAAGTTGCTGTGTGATCCCGGCATAGAATGGGCTATCCCTTCCTTTTCCATTGATGTTGTAAGAGGCGACTAAGGGAACTTAATGGTCGCAAGGTGAACAACAACGTCTTCTTAAAACATCACCAAAGCCTATCTGCAGTTGCCAACCCGCCTGTCAAGCTTGGCAACTATTGCCAACTCAATATAGAGGAGGATCAACTTTTTCATACAATTATGCGTAATAAATAATTATGAGTGGTTACTTTATACCTTCTATATTTATTTTGTCTTATAAATTTTGCATCTTTTTAATTCGTAAAGACTTATTTTATTTATTAAACAATTAAATATACATACGTCAAGATACATTGTGTGCGTAAGTATATAGAACACTAATAAAACAATGAGTTAACTAATTTGTGTGAATGTGAATAGGACTCTATTTTCCGCGCTTAGCCTCTAATTTGGGCCGTTGTGCGTATGAGTCGTGGCTAGTACAGCCAACCCAGCTCCGCCAAGAAGCACAAAAGCTTCCTGTGTTCTTCACAGGCCTCACGGAGCGACCTCACTGTTCCGAGGATTTCTAAACGTTGATGGGTCACAGCTTCACATTCCAGGATTACGTGAGCAGCCGTTTCTTCGGCGTCGAAACAGCCTCGACATAGAGGGCTGTCTGTGGCTCCTATTGTGTATAAATGTTTGTTTAATGGACAATGGCCCGTTGTTGGCCCTATCATTATTTTGAGATTTTTCCTATCTAGATGTAATAAACGTTTTGATAGTCGTTGACAATTACTTAAAACGGGTCAATTTTATGTCAACTAATTTGACAATTAGCTGACATAAAGTTGATCCGTTTTTGTGGCTTGATGCTCTATCTATATAATCTAAGGTACATACGTATTTTTACTCAGATTTTCCCGCAATGAAGTGATGGGATCAGCAAAAGTGCCACTCTCGCGTGTAGAAGTGGCAGGCGGAGCGGAGGTATGGGCTGAACTATCGCGGGAAAGACGTCCGCCTGAGGAATTACAAGAGCTGTTGCTATCTCTTTCGTACTTGCCTTCAGCTGAGCGCCTTACCGTAGTCGTGTTGAAGGCGAGGAATCTTCTGCCGCCGCAAGAGGGAAAAGATGCTTTAGGTTTGTACTTTCTAAATTCGTATAAAATAGATTGCCATGTGGTCTCGGCATGGAATGGACCACCGCTTCCTTTCTCGTGAATGTCGTAAGATGCGACTAAGGTGCAGCAGCATCCCTCATAAAATTTCACCAAAGCCTAATTGTGATTGCCAACTCGCCTGCAAAACGTGGCAACTTCTGGTAATCCTTATAGGGGAAGATTATTATCCTTACAGTTAACAGCTGATATGATGATAAGATAGATACATTTTGTACTGTTCGTTTTACAACTGGCTACAAAAGTGATAATTCTTAAGAGGCTTTTCAATGACAGCTTAATAAGTATATTATTGCATTGGTATAGAATTTTATTTCATATTTTCGTTGTCTTGATTTTTATCTAATACAATACTAACTTTTTGCAACTAACTGTGTATTGTTCTATTGTTTTCTTGAGATTTTTCTCGAAATCTCCCGTGGATTTCAGAAATAGAAAAAAAAACCAATAAAATTGACTACTTTTAGATTGTATATCAAGATAAAACATATACCAGTTTTTGAGTTACATTTTTAGGAAGACAACTGTGAAAAACCGCATCCAATTTGGTGCAATAGTTTTTGCATGCCGAAACAAACCAACAAATAGACATACAAAATTTCTAAAAATTATTGTTTCTGTTCCTATCGCAGTTATTAAGACTTCAAATATAAAGTTTTCTCAAATATTTCCCAATTTACTGACATCGTCTAGTTGCAATTTTATTATATTAGTATGATACTTTATTTTATTCGTCGCCTTTAAATCTGACTAATTTTACCATAGGTAAAACAATAATACGATTCTACATTATATGTTAAATTTTGTTATTATTTGTTAATTATTATTATTATATAGTTAAAATTCTGATTTAACTAGTCGTATTTTCTCCACCAAATTACATGTAAGTTAAACCGGTAGTTATTAATTAAAATATTATTATATAACTAGAACTGTGTAAATTCCCTTACAGATGTGTATGTGAAGGTGTATTTGCTGGTGAATGGCAAAAGAGTGAAGAAGAAGAAGACGAATAGGAAAGAGATAAACAATCCCGTATGGAACGAGGCGCTTTCTTTCAGCTTGCCCTCCGGGAATTTACAAGAGGCTTCTATCGAGGTACTTTTTTTTATATTGTAATGATTATCTCCCACCATTGCGTGACTCAGACGCTGTAATTATATTTCTATATATTTATTTTAAGTATAAAATTACTATTTATTTGTAACTATATTTTTATTAACACATGAATTTCTATAATTCATACTTACCAAATTTTCGTCTTTCTTCATTTTCTATAGGATTTTAATAAAAGTTTATGTCTATAGTCAATTAAATATAAATTTGTATTTATTTTATATATTTTTTCAATATAATTAAATATATAAATTTAAAAAATAATTGACATAATTTGTAAATTTTATGATTAATTTATCACTAGCATATTTAAAAACATTTTCGGGGGGAAAGGGCCTTAAAAAGAGCAAATTAAGTACACTCGGACATATCTTTGCACATAGTTAAAAGATAGATAAAAGAAGAAGAATTGTGGGATGGACACAACCCATCCCTTTTAGCGGAGATGGGGTGAACATACCATTATTATTATTTTTACATACTAATGTGATGTACATGCCAGGTATGCGTATTGACTGGTGGCAGCGGACTGGTGGTGGGCTGGTGCTGCGTGGGCGCGGCCGAACCCGCCGCTGAAGGCCGCCACTGGGCGCAGATGGCGCACGAGACACGCAAGGCCGTCGCCATGTGGCACACGCTCAGATAGAGTGCCGTCATCACACACCGTTAACACCCACCTGGCTAGCCGTATGCTGACGCACGCAGGAGAGATTGCATATAAGAAATTTTTTTTTCAGTTGATCGTTTTAGGCGTATTGAGGGGGAGAGTGGAGGAAGGGACCCGTTCCCACCCCAAAATTATCTAGTATCCACTTTATAATTCGAGCGGAGCTTTCAGCTACGCCCTTTCATAAGAATAGTCTTTATCAAAGGACCAGGCCCCCTCTACAAAATAATTTTAAATACATCAATGTTCATCGAATTCGTAGACCTCATCGTCCCTGTATTCGCTCAGGATATCATATCATGGTATTAAAAAAAAGCAAAACAATTCATAAAGTCGATTTTTTTATAATACCTAGAATGGTAAACATAACCAACAATAACTGATGGCCGACCAGAGCGATTAGTGCGAGTTACAGATGTCGTTTACCAGGGGAAAGGATTGTTAGTAATGCGGACTACCAGTCCCATTGCTAGCAATATACCCTGCCAGGTTGACCTCCACATAACCCCACCTGGAAAGCATCGTGCTGAATTCCAGAGGTATTCATCACATTGGGTTAACCGACCTGCATTTTCATTCTCACCTACCATCGCTCACTGGTGCCCCGCCAGCATATACCGTTAGTGCAGGCGGGGTTACCATTCCATTATCAGCCATTAAAAACATAATATAAAAAAATTATTTACCAGAGAGACTTTGTACAAAAGTCGTTTGCTTGGTACTTCTGTTCCACTTGTATTTTTTTCTGCCGTTAATCAACTGTACTTGCATAGCTGTTTCGGTTTGAAAGGCTATGGCAGTGAACTTTCAGGGTATGGAGGCATAACACCATAGTTCACAAGAATAATAATGCATATGGGTTTTTTTTTCAATGGATGAAAATGAAATTGTAAACCCGTCCGCGCTAGACAGATGAGGATGAAGCAGGTCAATTAGCCCGTCGTAACGAATTCATCTTAAATTAACCACGATGGTTTCCAGGGGGAACCGTGTGGAGGTCCTTAAAAGGTAGACCAAGGAATTTATGGTATATTGTTAGTAATGGGCCTGTTAGATATCATTACTGACAATCCCTTCCCCTCCTCGCATAAGGGATACCATGAATATCATAGTTTATTGTGATAACCGTGGTGCTGCTCTTGTCTATAGCCGATGGTTACCACTATTTATCAATGGACCGTCAGCTTGTTTGCCATTTTAAGTCTCATAAAAAAAGTTCAGTTTTCAAAATATGAAATTTTCTATGCAACCTCATCAACCGTTTAGACCCCAGACCGTTCATCGTGGATGAAGCATAACATTGATAGATCTGTGTATACTGCAACGCAGATAAATGAAACACCAAACGTATGTCAGTACTGAGAGTTTATTTAGGTAATAAATATGCAACCAGTCAAACACTGATTTGTTATTTTCAATTGTCTGACACCTAGTCATTTACCTTCCTTACGTAACACCATACATTCAGCACACATATATATCTCTTGTGTCAACTGCCATACTCCCCACTGTACTATATTGCAGTTCACTGCTGCGTCTCAGCATACGCCTAGCCTTAATCTACTAACACCTCGGTAGATTAGTATAAATTGTCATACACACATATGGATTCTAATCTGACAACTTCGTGCACAATACTCTTATAGCGTGACAACGTATGGATAACGGTATTGTAATGTAAGAAGGTATATTATATTGTCTATCGGGCGCATTATTTATGGATGGACGTCTTGCAAACTCTGAGAAAATTTAGCACAAGATGTTGACTAACTATCCAAGGTGAAATCGAAACGACTAAAATGCTCGTAAGCCAATCCTGTTGTTCTTACATTAAAATATAATGTGTACTTGTGCAACTTTTAACACTAAATGTTTATTTTTGGTATAACTTGGCAACATTTAAAAACTAAACTGACGAGGTGTTAAGTCAGATTACTAGATATAAGGCAAACTAAATTACATCTAAGCCTTATGCCTAAAGGCAATTATGCAATAGCTTATCTATAATCTATTATAACTATTATCCAGTCTTAACTGTGGGCTCGCTGTACATAATATACTAATATCTTCTTTCTTCCAAACTATCATTTCATACAGCCTTTTTGGCTATTTATAAGTATTGTACAATAAATATACTAACTCTATTAATCACTCATATATGTACATGTACTTATCTTTAATAGATTAATGGCTCCTATGCTATGTAAATTATATTCAACAGTAGTTTTAAATTCAAAAACCTAAAAGACCCCGAGTATTTTTATCATATTTATAATATTACAAAGAATATATAATATTTTATATTTATTATATTAAAAGTCAAATCAAACAAATATGGCAATACATTTGAGATTTTTATGTGTGAAATCCTAGAAATAATCTAATGAGCTTGTGGAACACCAAACAAATCTTATGAATTTGTAGAGTTTTATACGAGTATATTAATTTTGTAATATTAATTTTAATGATCCTTGTCCAGTTAGTATTATTGGAACATGGATGGAAAAAGGATGCCGCGCCCCATTAGTAGGTAGTTAGGTGAAGTGCTGACCAAACTAAACATAAGTCCTAAACCTAAATGCCTCAGTCGGAATCCGTCGAGTAAAGCCGAATCTGTTTTCATACCCAAGGCTGGCCTTAATGTACATGGCGTCCCTGGGTAAGTTTTAGATGTCGTCCCCACACTCCCGATGACGAAATCTTAAAAAGAAAATTATTATTCATTTGAATGTCGTCCACATTGGGTCCAATATCTATAGGTACGTTGGGTTTCTAAAAAAAGGTAACCACTAATTTTTCGCCCATTTCAAGTCCACCGAGTTTGATATCTATTATTAAGTTCCTGTAAAAAAAGTTTATCGTCCATTTTGATGTCCCTACGTCGAGTCCAATGTCTATAGATACACTGGGTAGGCCTTTAACAACCTCAGTGCCACTGGGCGCCTCCCGACTAGCCTTTGAAACCTTTACGTACTCGTATTGTTAATACCCTCTGCTTCTTGACCTATGTCCAATTTTTGCCTGTTTATTTAACGGCCTAGTATATTAATTGTTACATAAATGGAACACACTAGCAACCGGGGTATTATGTTGTAAGTATTCATGGATGACTAGCAGCTTCCATCAGATGGGCCGTTGGTTCCTTTGTCTCCCTAACAATAAAAAGTTTTGTACAGCAATTACCCTGTTGTGAGTTTTTTTTTTTATACCTACCAACAAGAGTGACACTTGATAAAAAGCAATATCATCTACAGAAGGATAGGAGAGAATGCTACATATAGCATTAAGTCCGCCTTTTATACCATTTTCTTTTTTTATAATATAGTCAATAAAGAATAAATACTATGTACAGAAATGAAAATCACAATATATATTATACGGACGCCCAGCCATAGCACCCCTTATACGTTGCCACACCTAATAATTATAAATTAGTACCAGACAGTACCATCGTTTCTCAACCTAGACGGCTTTTAACGACACAAAGGAATGGGAGGGTAACAATGTTAGTAGCAAGAACTACCAGTCACATTACTACGAATATACCCTATCAATACCTCCAGGTAATAATGAACAAAAGTAATCGAAAATAAAATAAATAAATACAAAAAAAAAGGAATAAATATCTGTGTGATGATCGCGATCGTTTTTTTTTTTATTTAAAAGTATAATATTTTCAATACGTAGCTTATCATTGCTGACGCATATAGGTAATTAAATTATCCGTTCGTGATTATATAAGGTCAAATATTTGTAAATAGCAATGACGCATCGTAACAAATGTTTAATGGGTCACACTTATAGGGTTCGGGTCGAGAAATGATGCTGCCACAGTCATATGGATCTATTTGTAGATTAATATATGTGATGGACAAGACAGCATCATACGTCGTCTTACTCTGTCTCATACGGTATCGTGAAGGTGCCTGCAAATATGTAGATTCAATTTACTCTTGTCTAGGGAGTACCACAGCTGTGTAAATTGGTCGCGGATTCCTTTTTTCCTCGTCCGTGTATAATTATGTAATATGAATGCGCTCACACTACGCCCACAGTTATTCTGTCACTAAATACTAGTAGTAATCATTGGATGGTGTGATCTCCCTTCTGTTCAGGGGTTTTATGAATAAATTATATCGAATTTTATTCCAAAATATACGTACATATTTTTATCTAAGTGTATGTATCTGTGTGGAGGAAAGTATTTTACTTTGTATTTTCTTTACAATATCTAAATAAAATGTCTATTTGTAAGATTAATGTCTAATTTATTTTATTCACTGATCTACATACCCAATATCCTGATATCTTTTAATTAATACCTACATTAAATGGCTTTACAGATTAGTAGTGCTAACGACTTTGATCATATAATAATTTAGTTACGATTGATATCACTATTTTTTGTGATGCAAAATCGATATTAATTTATCGTATAATTGGGTCGGTTCTAAAGCAACATTACCTAAACATGTCTCTAAAATCACAATTTCAACTAAATAGTTTAACAAAAGTATTATGATATGGACCATCAAGAATTATATGCGAAGTAGATATAATGCAATGCTCCTAAAAAAATTTATACCAGTCCTTAGAATAATCGTTTCACTGTAACATCTAATAAAATTTTTATTTTTAATGTTTGCCTGGAAACCGCTTTCAGCGATAAGGTCGCCCGATGTTTTTCTCAGTGTGATTATTTCTTGTTTGTATCTATAATAAAGTTTACTATTGTAATCTTTTGCAGGAAACAATAAAGAGTGTTTATCTAATTTCAGAAATAGAGAACGGTGCTTAGGAATGTACTCCACTGCACGGAATATTTTTAGGTTTCAAGATAAATTGGATAAAAAAAAAAACAAATGTTTACAATAAATTTTATATATTTTATTTTTATCATAACTTTTTACACTGTGTACACTATGTATTTTAAATTTCAACGTATGAAATAATCTTAAAGCTATGTTTGCGTACCGAAAGTCCAGCAGCTCGATGTCACAGGTGTCACATGGCACGATATTTGGTACACTACTCAATAATATAGTTACTTGAAACTTACCACTGCCGGGCGGTGCGATGACACAACCAAGCGACGCCAACTAAAACGCAACATATTATATGCTAGAAGAAAAAAAGACCACCCATTTTGGGCATACACAAATCAATTTAATGCAGTTAAATAATTTTTACAAATTAAACTTGAGTGTTGAGCACACTTGCAAACGAATTTTATTGATATGTATATGCCCTAATAATTAAGTGGTGATTGATGAAAAATAGACACCTACATAACTTTAAAAAAAAAAATTAGAAAAATAAAAATATCTTTGGTGCAAAAATATATAACATAACATTCAATTATAATTTAACAACAAAAACAGCTACAAGCATAAAAATTATTAAAACATTTAAATTAACTGATTACATTCACCTTACGGTTATATCTAATTAATCTGTTACTATCACAAAATGGAATTTAATGTAAGATAAATAATAATATTATACAATTAAAATATATCACGTTTGATATTAATGGCATTATTATCTTTTCACATTTAATGGATAAGTGAAGAAAGAAGCATGCTTACAAAACCTATTATATATAGATGGAATTTAAAAAAAAATCTTTATATATACTTTACACATCATCGTAGATCCATTTGCGGTCGGAGGATGTATAGTGTATGATAATATTTATCAGAGTAATATATATTTGTTTGAGTAATGTATGTGTGAGTGTGGCAGTGTGTGTTGTTTAATGAAATTGTAAATGTATGTCACTGTCCTGAAAGTCTGTTTAGATGTAAATTTGTGCAGTCGGTGTCCTTGCAACTCCCTCCGATTTCGAAGGGGCAAAGAAAGGCATTCGGGTCCTCCTTCCAACTGGAAAAGCATCAATTAAATACGTTTATTTGTGGAAACAAATAGCTGTGGATAGATTACAATGCATACTTACATCGTACTGCAGAACGATGTGCGTACGCATTTCCCATCCACCTTTCATTCAAATCGATATAACGGATAATAGAAACATGCACATTCTCTTGTTTTTCTATGATAACACCTAATGAAAAGCATAAAGCGTTATTAAATTCACCTTATACCTAAATAAGCAGTCACATTACCCTGTAATGGTAAAAGCAAAACAAAATGCAATGATTAGTAAAATACCCTAATACCAAAATTATATCTTACTTTCCAATATCTAATGGAGATATATAATCATCCGCGTCCTTCTTCTTCCGTCTGTTTCCTTGACTCGTATCATTCATAATTTCCCTACTGTTTCTTCTTTCAGTACTTTTATCAACCCTCTGACAAATATTATTATCATTTTCTTCTAACATTTCGTTTTCATTTTGTTTTTCTATACTTATTGCTTCATTGTCAAAAGTATTTGCTAAATCACTAGTATTTTTGACTGGACTATTGGGCATTCTAACTACTTTCTTGTTATTAGTAATATCCACTTGGACCGATAACCTAGGATTAAGTACTGTGGTATCTTTTAAATCATTGACAACACTAACTTTCACCGACTTTAATAATTGGGGATTCTTGTAGTCTTCTTTAGTTGGGTTATTTTCTTTTTGTACTTTATTTGCTGTATTATTTTTATTAATTGCCCGAGACATATCTACTCCAATACCATTCTTTTTGGAATGTTTAAAATTTGAGCTGAAAAGTAGTAATTTTATGAAATGAAAAATTCAAATATTTATAGAACTTTACCAGCTAGATAAATTACCTTTTTAATAGAGCTTGATGGTGCAGTCTTATTTTAGATAATCGATTTTGCGCAACTCTTTGTTGTTTTTTGTTTAATGTAATAGCAGTTGTTATATTTCTAAGTTCTGTGGCAACTATTTTATATTTCTGAGACAGTTTAGTCGCCTCCTCTTTCAGTCTTAACATATTTGCTGACTCTTCTGCAATTTTTTTCCTAAAAATAAATTATAATTTATTTATTACCAACTTATTAAAATACATACATATTTGACTTAATAATATATAAATACCTTGACAAAGCAATTTGTTCATCTATATTACTTGAAGTGTTAATAGTGTCCATGGAAACATTGTGTGGCTTCAAAGTTTCTTTTAAGAGAACTTTCTCTTTATTTACAAGGTTCATTGATGATTGCCTGGCTTTCTTAATTTTCTCCAACTCCGCCATTCTTTTCACTAAATTCTTATATTCAAGCTGTTCCGATTTGGGCAAATTTTTTACAGACTAAAATAATAAAGATATTTTAGGTTGTCCATTGAAATCAGTCACAAATATATTAAAGGTAATCATAACCAAATATACATTTGATGGTTGAAATAAATGTGGCAATTAATTACAGAAAAGTAATTTGCTTGATGTGTTATTTTAAGAGTGATCAAACTCCTAAAATTATATATGTCTGGTATGTACTGCTGAGGATAAAAAATATAAACATATTGAAAAATAACTTATATTGGCATAAGTATGCTGTACAAAGCAATCTAATTTTAAATGAAATAACATAAAAATTATCTCATACTCTGATCACTGTAAACATTCCAGTTATCACATAAAAGTATGAAGTCAAAGATTTCTTACTGATGAAACTATTATTTGTATATTCTATAAATAAATACATTTATCTATGCCGAAAGTGACTACCTACTGAGATAATTGCTTTCGGAAATATAATTTATGATTTAAGTCATAAAATAATGAAATTTTGTTAAAAATGTAGTAGTTTTCACATAGTTTGGAAATGATTACTAGAAGATAAATTTTATAACTTCCCATTCATACACACTATGTTGACAGAATACTATTACTAAATTCATTTATTTTAATAATATGGAACAGATAATATGAAAAAACAGACAAAATTTTTAAAACATGTAAAGGTGGTTGCTTGTGTACACAACACACAACAATAACGAGCAAAGGCAGTTTAGTGTATGAGCTAATGTAAACAATACAATTTTGAGATAAAATATTTCTTCCTACCTTTGCAACAAATTTTTCAGATGGCTTTACTGGTGCAGATAGCTGAGTACTTGGATTTTCTTGGTTTTCAACTTTCATACGAGTAAACTTTAAAAACATATCAAGTTGTTGTTCAAAATCCGATTGCTGCTGTTTCATGTGCATTTTAGTTAAATTTTTGGTTGCCTCATGTTCACCCTCTGAATCTGATTCTCCAAGTTTGATAATAAACCTCTTTTGTTCAGATACACTAGTAATTTGTTGCTTATCCGTTGATATCGCTTTATTTTCTTGTGCAGCTTCCTCAATGGTATTTATAATATTAGAATTTATGAGATTAGGTAAATTTTTACTCAAAGAGGTCAATAATTTGGCTCGTAACAAATCTTCATCCTCATCTAACTCATCCTCCTTTGATTTTATTATAATATGTTTATCATCATTACTATCACAATTAACTTCATTTTCTGTGTTAAGTTTAGCACTATCAATTCCTAACTCTTTTATTTTTTCATCACCGTCAGACCCTATGTCCATATCTACTGATTCTATATCAGTATTATTCTGTGATTCGATTTGATTAGATAAGATATCTTCCCCAGTAATAATATCATCTTGTAAAATGGAAGACTGTGAAAGTCTTTTCTTCAACTTCTGTTTTCTTTTTATTTCAATAGCCTTTTTTAAATACGCTGACTTTAGACAAATTAACCTTAATTCAGCAGTATATGTATCATCATCCTCAGATAATAATTTATTTTCAGGTTCAATTTCAGATTGAGATACTTTAACTTTTGTAGACTTTGTCTTGAGGGCATGTTGTCTTAATAATTCTAAATCTTCATCAGAGTCGCCTACAGTTTTTTCATTATTATGTTCAACATTTTTTTCTGCAACAGCAGAATCAATAGTATCCTGCATTGGATTAGATTTTATATCATCATCATTGCTTAAATCTATTAACTCACATATTTCAACTGCATTTTTTACGAAATCTTTTTGCACTTCATTAATTAAACTGCTAGATTTATAAGTTTCCTTGTATAAAGGAGAATTAACCAAATTGTCTTCTACTGTTTTAAAATTGCTATTTGCTTCAATTTCATTGCTCTCAATGAATCTTAAAGGCTCTAAGTCTTGTGAATTATGAAGCATTTTTTTCAATCTAGTACTTAAAGATGTGTCATTTTTAATTTTGTTAATTGAAACAGCATTAGCTAATTTTCTTCTTTTATTCCTATACTCATCATCTGATTCTTCGCTTGTTTCACTTATTACTTTGGTTTGTAATTTTTTCTTGCGATGACTCTTTTTTTTATATTCCTTATTTCGTGTTGAAATTCTGATAGGTGAAAACTCTTTTTTTCTTTTTTGTTTAGAATGTGATTTAGGATGTTTGTTATTGCTAATTTTTTTTAAATTTGGGTTGTTGTCATCTAAATCTGTATAGAAAATTTCATACATATGACAAGACATCACCAGAGGGAGACTGTACAAAAGTTGTTTGCTTGGGTACTTCTATGCTTCTGTTCTGTTCCTGTGTTTCTACTATGAAGCAGTTGTGTTTGTTTGGCTGTGTTTCGGTTTGAAGGGTGAGATATGGCAGCGAATTTACAGGGTACAAAGGAATAACACATGAATCCTCAGAAATGGCAATACATTGGGGGTATCATGGGCGACAGTATACTCTGTTATGTTCATGGTACTACTCATGTCTATAGGTGACGGTTACCACTTTCCATCAGGTGGGCCGTCAGCTTGTTTGTCATTCTAAGTTACATAAAAAAAAAATTTTATTCCTGATACATGAAGTATACTTTTGGAAAATTTTTAAAATTACAAAAATTGAGAAATTAAAAACAAAATTACTCTATAACTACTGTACTTTGGAGAAAGTTATTGTTAATAATAAAGTCTAAGTAAATCCATCATGAGAGGTCAGCTGACTTAAAACTAAATCTGAACTCTTGGAAACCCTTATACTTAATAAAATTATTTCAATGGGTCAACTGTTCTGATAAAATATCATACATAACCTATGGTGAGATCATGTTCACCTATACATTTCATGGTTTGACCCTTTAAAAAACCTACTTTGGATTATCTATAAAAACAAGTGGGGCCTATTTAAAATATTTTATGTAAACAAAAAAAAAACAGATAATTCTTTTTAATTTTAAAATAAAAAAATAGGAATTAAATATTAAAAATACTGAAAACATATCATTATATTTAAATAATGTTTTTATAAGACCTTTTGTAATAAAATTTAAAACATTTAATATCAAATAATTATTATAGATAATATTTAACTGTGGTACAAAATTTTTGAAATCAACTTGAATTATTTAATAATTTAAGATTTTATTATATTTATTTTTATTATAATTTAAGGAAAGCAGCTTAGAAACACTCAATACCAAAGGCACCCTTACAATGGTAAATATATAGCTGATGTCAGCAAACCTTTGAGCTCTCTATATCTTACATACACACATATCTGTGTCTATCATCAAAAGACAAATCTACATTTGTATGTACAATATTTACTGAGGATATACACTGACTAACATTAAGAACCACTATCTATACTACCTAAAGCTGCACATATATTTGAAATATTATTTCAAAGCTGTCTTTTATAGTTTATAATAGTAAATATGTACCTGATCCAATTGATATGCTATTGGCTTTCTTTCTCTCAAGGACATTGTTGTAGGTTTCAAGAACATGTAATCTCTGACGCAGTAGAAACTCCTCATCTGACGATATATCCGAAAGATCATCGAGGTCATCAACTATTTCGCCTTCTTCCATCTCCGAATCGGCATTCCTTGGTGGTATATTTTCAACGCAAGCCATTCTGTATACCTTGCAAGGCAAAAATAACATTTAACAATCAATTAAAGCTTCATTGTAATTTCATTTATGGACAGACATTTTTACAGAAAAATGGTACACTACCTCGTAACGCAATGAAAGCGCAATATCAGTATTTTAGTATTATGACTACTTCTTTTAATAGAATAAAACTAATTAAATTAGGATATCACTTTGATTGTAACTTTACTAATTAATAATGAAAATATCTCGAAAACGTGACATGATTACAAATGAGAATGCAAGGAATATAAAATAATATGACAATAAAATCACAATGACAGATTTAAATTTCATACACTTTACCCACAGATAGCTATTACTCTACGACAATGTTAATTATAATGACAAACAATACAAGATTGACGAGCGCATGACATATGTTTTTAAATATTTGTATGTGCCTGAGTTCTAGATCTTAGGTCAGTTATTTTGTTATCATGTGGAATAAAATACTGGAAAACGCTTTAGTTATTTAATAAAATAGAAATTCGATTAGTTACTTACTTAAGTAGAGATCCATACCAATAAAGTATAAAAGAACCGTTAGGGTGTATCTTTGTCTGTCCGTTCGAGTGATTAGATTCAGACATATTGTAATGGTAATAATTAAAAAATATTTTTACTTTCTCTGCTAATGGTTCTAAAATTGGTATTTAAAACTTCTTCTACAATCATCAATCTATTCTTACACGCTCGCCGGTTACGGGGTATTTTTAATTTGGCTCTTCTTTATCAAGTAAGTGACGTGCTAAAGCACATCGACTACTTGATAGATATATGTCCGGCTAGGGTAGCCACTACCGATATCTCCATTTATTAATTCGTACTTTTTTCTTTTTTTTTGTAACACAGGGGTCAAACAAGCATGCGGCTCACCTGATGGTAAGTGACTACCGCCACCCATGATCACTCACAACACTAAAGGCATTGTAGGTATTCTGCTGACCTTTTAAAAAGTAATATGCTCTCTTCTTGAAGGTTATGATGTCGTATCTGTTCGGAAACACTGCTGCTGGAAGTTAATTCTAAAAAGTGATTGTGCGTGGAAGAAAGTGCTTTGAAAAATGCACGGTGGAAAACCACCATCCAGAAGATTGGGATGAAACTTTAGTTTATGACAGATTGTACGTCAGTAAAAATCATTAGCAGTTATCAATCCTAACAATTCCTCAGAGCACTCCTCATGATAAATTTGGCAGAAGATGGAGGGAGATGCAACATTTCTACGCAATATCAGTGGGTCGAGTCGGACAGTACTTGATAAACTTTTGTAATTCTTTTTTCATCCATCTTCTCTCAATGGCCAAACCAATACTATAATATACTATATATGTAATATTTTAATTTGATAGTTTTATTAACCATCATAAAACCCTTGTCTGGTGGGATCTTTCTTTTTAATGGATGAAAATGGAGTAACCCCGCCTACGCTGTCGGGATACGTTAGCAGGGCATCAGCGAAGGATGATAGATGAAGATGAAGCAGGTCAATTGGCTCATTGTGATGAATTCATCGAAAAATTAATCACGATGGCTTCCAGGGAGAACCGCGTGGAGGTCGACCTGGTAGGGTATATTGCTAGTAATAGGTCTGTTGGCTCTCATTACTAACAATCCCTTCAAGACTAATATTTTATTAGCTTATATTTCAATCTTTGAAAGGCGATATGAATCATAGAGTAACTATCTTCAAGATAACGATCACGTCAAACTGTCAGTCATAGTCATACATAGAGTAGATCAGTAATAGATATGTCACATTTATACTTAAATCACACTCAAATATACTGTATTCGTTTTTAAATATTAGTTAATTAAATGAATTGGGAAAACTACTTTATAATCAATATTATAGAAAAATCAGTTGTAGTTAAGAATTATCTTTGTATGTGGATTTAGATAGTTATTAAAAGTCATAATTTTGTTTCACGATCATATAAAAATTATCTCGTAATGTACATTGAAAATGAAGAAGATTATAAATTCGCCGCCTGTACTTATTTTGCTAGAAATCATCCGGGAGAAACTTGTGGTAGTAATGGATTACCTCTTACTCCGAGCTCTGTAACTATTCTAAGTCGGGCGCAGCGATTATTGAATATAGAACATCCTAATTTGTGCACTTATTTGGACGTTATTAGGGGTAAACATGGTATGTAAACAAACGATATTTATCGCCTATCTTTTCATATAATGAAAAGTTAGCTTTATTATTTTTAAAACTTATGTGCATTTTTTATCAATTGTCTATATACATATATAATGGGAAATTAACGAACTCAGTGTATTTTGCTGTTTCCATCAATTGTTTCGACTTCATCCGGAAGTCTTCTGGGGGCGTTTGGCGCTTTGGTCGAAATAATATTGGGAAAAAGTAAAACACAGAGTTCATTAATTTCCATTTATATGTGTATAAATATAAAATAGTTTTAAAAATGCATTTATTATTTTTCAGAAAGGATAATAGTAGTGGCTGAAGTGATTGGAAAATCACTAAAGGAAATCACTTCAAAGTTTACATATCAAGAAATCACTAACATTGGTAGACAATTAGCTAATGGCTTAAATTTTTTACATGATCAAAACATTACACATAGGACTCTGGCTGATGACAATATATTGTTGGACAATAATGGCAGAGTGAAATTGTTTAATTTTGGAATGTATTATATGACTGGTAGTGGAGAAGAAGTGTCTTTTCCACTTGGGTGAGTTAAAGATTTATTTTATTTTATATTGTTACAATATTTGTATATCATTTCAAACTTAAATAGATTTGATTTAAATTTGGTATACAGGAAGATTATATTCTAACACACAGTATACTTTTATGTTATTTATGCAGGTGATGCTGTGAGATACAGTTAGTAGTATATATGTATATTGATGGCTTTCATGCTATCATTAGAAAAAAAATATTGTTATATAGAAACATATTTACAACAGCATTATAAGTAAATTATTTATTGGAATAAGTGATAAGAAAATAAATGACATCTTAAAATGTGCAAACATCTATACCACATACCATTATCATACCATATATATACCATAGGTATATGTTTTATTTATTTAGTAGCAGCCTGTCCCGGCGTCGCACAGGTGGACATTTTTAACATTTCCCTTTACTGCTCTGCTCCTATTGATCGTAGTGTGATGAAAAGTATACTATAACCTGCCCAGGAGTATGAAGAATAATTGTACCATGTTTCGTTAAAATCCATCGAGTAGTTTTTGTTTCTATAATGAACATATAGACAGACAGACAGACAAAAATTTTACTGATTTCATTTTTGGCATCAGTATCGATCACTAATCACCTCCTGATAGATATTTTGGAAATATATTTTATGTACAGAATTGACTTCTCTACAGGTTTATTATATAATAAGTATAGATTTTGAAGAAAAGAAAAATATTAAGTGAGTAATATAATACAAATGTAATTGTAAGAGAAATAATTTGTTGCTACCCACATTTAAATATGTTGCCTCTTTTTATACTTTTTCAGTTTCTCAGTTTTTATACTTATTCAATATTCTAATATATTTTATAAATATTTAAGTCAAGGGAAGTTATTTAATTATCTACTAAAATATAGGCTCAGCCTAATTTGGTGGCTAGTGGATTTAACTAAATGTAATTTTTTTTTATATACCAATGAGGTGGCAAACAAGCATACGGCCCACCTGATGGTAAGTGGTTACAGTAGCCTATGAGCACCTGCAATACTAGAGGTATTACGCGTGCGTTGCCAATTCTGAAGAAACCTCTTTACCCCCTTTTGAAGAATTTATTTAATAAAGATATTATCATAAGTTTTTACCCACAACTTTGTCCATATGACTGGGATATGTTTAGTGATTGATATAAAAAGTAGTCTATATCCTTCTCCATCCTATATAATATGTATATACCAACTTTTAAATTACCAATTAATAAATAATTAAAAAATTATCATAGTGATTCGTTAAGCAGTTATAAGGTAATAAACTGACAAACTTATTTTATTAGTGAGAATGTGCTGAAACTATGTATTTGATCAGTACTGTGTACAGTTTTTTTTCTATAAATATAGTTGTATGTTGTTTTTAAGAAATTAATATTCATTGTATGAAAATCAATATATTTAAATAATTAAACATGATAGTTCAAATCTCATTAAATATCTAATTTACATCTAAAATTTTTGTCCTGAATAAAATCATAAAAATTAAGTATTAGGAATTTTTTTTATTGTAATAATATATAATAGTCTATCATATTTTTTTCAGTCTCCCAAAATATCTAAGTCCTGAAACAATATTGAAAGGTGGAGGGCCAGCTGCAGATGTATGGTCCTTTGGCATAATCCTTCTAGAGTTGTGCATTGGAAAATTATGGCACAATTTGAAACCTGGCCCTATATTAAGGCGAATATTAACATTAGTTCATGCTAATAATCCAGCAGAGAGGATAGCAAGGGAACATGATTGCCTTGATACTTATAAAGTAGGTACCTTTAGGAATTCCATTTTTCTTTTATCTAAAATTATGGCAAATGAGCTTGTGGTTCATTTAATGATAAATGATCATTGCAGTCCATTGATACTTATTGACACCAAAGAAGATTCCAGTATATTGCAAGTCATTTAAAAAGGCATATTGTTTTCTTGAAAGTCCTGTAGTCGAATTTGTTTAGAAACACTGCTGCAGGTGTTTGTTCACTATTTTAATAGTATGTGGCAGGGAACTAGTATTAAAACATACAACACTAGACTGCCATTCACCAAGATGATGGTCAAATTCAATATCACGGAATTTGTATCAGGTGCTACAATAGGAAAATAGTGGCTGGTATTAGTTTGAACAATTGTTTGGATCATTCCCTGTGATAGACACATTAGAGGGAATCTTTCATCTTCTTTGTTTGCAGGAAGTTCCAGAAAATCTAAGAAACATAATAGAGATGTGTCTAAAAATATATCCAAGTGAGAGAGCTACATTTGCAACACTCGTAGATAAGTTATCGCAAATAGATGACAAAGAATTGGTGACAGTGAAGGCTGAGCGCGGTCTCATGGGGTGTAAGCTTCAGTACTTGTACCATTGGTGGCAGTTGGCAGGTGGAGACATACAGGCGGAGTTGAAAAAAAATTGTCTGATCAAAAACACACCACCAATATTATCTATGCCTATGTATGTATCACAATGTATATATATTTATACTATTAAAACTGGTGAATAACCAGTTTGAAAGTACTGTTTATGTACATCATCATCTTCTTTATCTCAGCTATTATCTCTCCAATGTCGGACATGGGCCTTCCCTATAGACCGCTATAAAGAATGGTCCTGAGCCACCTGGATGCAGGTGGCATCTGACTCTGCAATGCATTTAAGGTCACTCCATCTTGTATATATACTGCATTTGCCCATATATGTTCCTCTAGACCCTTTCTTCCTGATGATATGAACATGTATTATAATGATGATGATATATATTTTATAGTGTCATTCACACATTGCCACTCCTTAAGATTGAAATATTAAAACTCAAAAAAGAATGCACAAACTAATTCAGTACCAAATTCTTGTGTAAAACAATATATATAATATTTTTTGTTACTGTATAGGCCGGAAATGGACTTACAAAGGTCTAAAGGGATAATACCTTATTTCTCAAGAGTGACAATATATGAAACATTATGATCTGATTATGTCCATGTTGTTTATCTATAGATCACGGTTATCACTGTCCATCCGATGGGCAGTCAGCTTGATTAACATTCTAAGTTGCGTAAAAAATAATAAGAAATTTAAGACCTGAGTTTAAGTTTTAGTTTAAAAATTGTAACTATAAATTATTAATCTTGTAAAATGCTTTTAGAGCGATCCTCTTAGATGGCTGCACTATAGGTGGCAAGACGGGAGCTTTGTACGATCGCCGTATTGCAAAATATAGTCTTGATTTGTTAAAAATTCGCCTCAACCATATACCACCACATGATTACTACCCGCTCATGCACGAAAGGAAGAAGGAATATGATGCTGTGCTGCTACCGAAAATAATCAGGGAGAGGGACACAGAGTATCAATTTTATAGATTACTATTGTTTCAGAGGTTACTACATGTAAGTTTCAATTTTAAACTATGTAAATATCTTTTTAATATTTTAAATATGAAAGTTTGTAAAGATGTTTGTATGTTTGTTACTCAATTACATTTAAATGGCTAAACAGATTATAATCAAACTTGATTACTGTGATAGACTATATCCTAATTTAACTCATGGAATAATTATATACTGATACATGCAGGAAAAAGCTTATATATATTTATGTATCTACTAGCTTTTACCCGCGACTTTGTCCCCATGATCCGAATATGTTCATTGACTGAGATAGCAAGTAGTTTATGTCCTTTTCCATCACATATAGTATTTATTATTGTTGTTATTTCACCCGTTAACTGTTCTCTGCTAAATATAAGCCTTTCCCATAAGTGGAGTTTTGCTAGTAGTTGCCACGCTTGGCAGTCGGGTTGGCAACCGCAGTTAGACTTTTAGAGATGTTTTAAGAGAAACACTGCTGCCCATCCCTCGCCCTGCCTTCGTCGCTTCTTACAACACCCACAGGAAAGGAAGGAGTGGCCCATTCTATGCCGGGGCACACACGGCAGTATAGTGTAAATTTACATACACATATAGTGTATGTATAAAAAATTTTCATAACTAATGGTTAAGCCGTTAAGGCGCCAAGATGTAGCAAACAATTAAACAAACTCACTTTCACATTTATATCAGTATAGTATAGATTATGGAACAATAAAACTACCATATCGGGCAACTACGTCTCGATGAAGTAAAAGTATTTTAATATTAAATAATGTATATAAATTCATATAAAATCCATAAGATATAACATACGAAATTTTGAATATGAAAAGCAGAGGTTGCACATGGTGGTAGTCATTGGAGAAGGCCTATGTTTAGTTATAGATAGATACAGGCTGAAACGAATCATGAATGACATACTAAAATAAATAATACCCACAAAAACAGTGTTCGATACAGACTCTAAGATCAGACAGTTAAATTAATAATAAAGTAATCTGGCCGATCCCCTTTTCTTTTAAACTTTATTTTATACCACAAAGGTGCCAAACCAGCATACATCTCGCCTGATGGTAAATGGTTACTGTAGCCTATGGACACCTGCAATACTAGGGCTGTCACGTGCGCGTTGACGACCCTGAATAAACCTTAATTTATATTCTTTGAAGTATCCCATACTGTAGTCTCTAGAAAAAACCTCGGTACGGAGTTCATTTCACAGCCTTACATACGCATACGCGGGAGAAAATTCCTTTGAAATCGCACTGTATGTAACCATTTAGATTCAAGCATGTGAGAATGAATTCCCTGTCGATGATACGCTGTGTGATGATAAAACATGGCGACTTCGTTCGAATTCGAATGCATGCAGGCGAGTCGGGAACTTTTGCTTCTTTTTGTGGGAGAGTTCCTTGTACAGCAGTGGACAGTAAATGGTTGACTTTATGATTACGATATTCTACATTTATTATAGGGATACCCCTTCACAGCCCCGTACATAAGAGCCGAAGCCGAGATAGACATACCGCCGTTAGTGCGCGGCGACGTATGGGCGGCGCTGCTCGGCGTCGTCGGCGATATTCAGGACCAATACGAGAGGATAGACAAAGAGACGCCAACGCCTACTGACAGACAAGTAAGCGATGCGACAATAGTTGTCTCTTAGATTATATTAATAGAGTATCGAGCCTCAAAAACGGGTTAACTTTTTGTCACCTTACAAATATTTATACTCATGAGTATCTTATATGTATAAGTCTCTTGTATTTGGTCATTATCTGTGGTGGCGTGCAGAGAAGATTGTTGGAGAAAGCGTAATAAAATAATATTTATAGTTCAACAAGTTTTATTAGTAGATTAGCGCATTGCAATAGAATATCAATAATAATAAAAAAGAATATTTTTACCGTTGAGGCTATATATTCTAACACGCCGCCTTAATCGCAATGGTAACAATGATCAACAAACACATAGAACTATGGCACGGTATAATATAGTTGTCAACCACACTCTGCTACCATGTTGGATAAAGGTTAATAAAATAATATACAACAAGAAAAAGACATCGGTCTTCGAGTTTTATTAGTAGACAAGCGCACAATAGAATGTCAATAATCAAAAAAAGAATATCTTTGCCATTGAGGTTATCTATTCTAACAAAGATATTACGTAATATTTACAAATGAAAAAAGTACAAATCATTTGTCAAACCTTCTTTTTTTTATTATTGCAGATAGACGTGGACATCCCTCGTTGCCACCAGTACTGTTGGCTGCTGAGCGGCGCAGACGGTCATCGCGCGCTCAAGCGGTTGCTCAAAGCCTGGCTACTCACAAATCCACAGTATGTCTACTGGCAAGGCCTGGATTCACTCACCGCACCATTTTTGTATTTGAATTTTTGTAATGAAGGTAAATATCCTTATGTACTTACACCTTTTATTATACCATACACTGGACACTTCATACAAAAACGACAAATTAACTTTGATTAAACTGCATCTCATTCGTGATGTGTTAACACGTTTTAGGATATCAATCTTGTCTTATATTTTGCATCTCTATAATTAATTATATACATTTTCGATTGTTATATGTTGTGTTTTCCAAATAAATAGGTTTGTACACATATGTATTTATGTTTTTTTACTTGAGAGATCAATTTAACACAGAAGCAGTATGTAGCAATATAGACAGTATGTTACAAAATACCACAGAATATTATGGAAATTACTAGGATAATGGAAATAATGATCTATATTAAATAGATATAATATATAGGGTTCTTGTGATGGGAGAATAAAAATTTATTGAGCCGAGCCCTAACTAGAAAACGAACTGTAATATCATAGTCATGATGATAATTTATTTAAAAAAATATATTTAATCTTGACAGAACAAGAACTGAAATACATTGGAACTAAGAGCCTTTTTCTCGTCTTTGAAGTGTATTAAAAATTAAAAAAAATAACGTTAACAAATTGTCCTTGTTTGTTTCAGCTCGCGCTTTCGCATGCTTGTCAGCGTTTGTTCCAAAATTTCTGCATAAGTTCTTCTTGAAAGATAACAGTTTTGTGATAAAGGAGTACCTAGCAAAGTTTTGGCAGATGACCGCCTTCCACGAGCCCGAATTGGCTACCCATCTGCACGAGATAAACTTTGTGCCAGAACTGTTTGCAATACCATGGTTCCTTACTATGTTTTCACGTACGTATACGAGTCAAACTAATTTATATACACATTAGCTTTCGTAGACAGAAAATGCCATAGAACTAGTATTAGCGTATTCATTATGAAATATCAATAAAACTACCTCATTGAGCAAACGAACAAATAAAGAATGTAGTATGACGAATAATAGTGACATAGGTATTTAATTTGAACGGGTAATGTAAATATAATGCTAAGTATAGACTAACTTGTTTTTTTATTAATCCACTATTGAAATTTGTAGGGATATCATGTTTTTTTTTTTTTTTAAATAAAATAAATGACGTCTTACTCTGTAATATTAAACCTTGCTTATAAAATGCTAGGTTTTCTTGTAGATTAATTCGATCGCGGTAAATGGAAATACAACAATTTATTTCCCACAGCATTTAAGTATATCGTGTATAAATAATTTGTTTTTGTCACGGTCAAACAATATATTTTCGTCACACGAATGAAGCCACGGGTAAAAGATAGTAAGTAAATAATTGCATCTGAAACGAAATTAAAGTGGGTCCCAAATAATTACTTCGAAATAACAATATTATTTATTCATTTCTAGATGTGTTTCCACTACATAAAATTGTCCATCTGTGGGACGCTTTGCTTGTGGAAGGTCCAGCGCTGCCGCTGTTTATGGGCGTTGGAATCTTGCGTCAACTACGCGACACATTGCTAGAATCAGGGTTCAACGAGTGCATATTACTGTTCTCGGACTTGCCTGAAATTGATATTGGGGAATGTGTCAAGGTAAATTAAACCTTAATTGAATATTTGTTAAATATTACTTTTAACGTCTTCTACGGCGTGTAAACTGATTTACGCAATAAACTATTGTCATTATTAGCATGTAGATGCGTATATGTTCTATAGAATTTTACAATATAACTACATATGTCTCTTTTTTAATATTTTTGTAATATCACTTTTTGATAGCAATTTGTTTACGATTGAAATATATTTTAAGAGTGTGGCAACATCGCATTTATGTGTCAAATATCAAAAATAGTTAAAGAAATTTTAATGTTTTAACTGATTATTTCAAAAGTTCTGGTGCTAACTATTTAAAGCAATTATAAATGCTTCCAAGCACTTATTTCGCTGTACATATATTATTATTATTATTTTTTAATGGGTGATAGTGGAATGGTAACCCTGCTTGCGCTATCGGTATACGCTGGCGGGGCACCAGTAATAGACGATAGGTGAGGGTGAGGGCAGGTCAGTTTACCTCACGTGAAGAATTCAACAAGAATTAATCACTCTAGTATTAAAAATAATAGAAAAATAATGCATTTGAATGACTTTTATGTGTATTTATATATTTTCAGGAGTCTATAGCCATGTGCCGCAGTTCTCCGCGCAGTATTAGTTATAGAAGGTTTACCAACGAAGCGGAATTAAAAGACCCCATGGTAATTATTTTTTATTAAATAGCTTTTATTTATTAAATAATTTAAATATAATGAAATCTAAAATGAAGTAATACTTAATATGGGGACACATTACATCATCTGTCAGCTACAGTTTTTGTATTAATCTAACTTACTTCTAATATTATAAATGTGATAGATTCTAAAGATGTTTATTCACTTTTAAATCACGTTTAAAAAGTTAGACGAGTCTATATGAAATTTGATACACTGGTTAGCATATATCCTAACATAACCGTTTCCTTCGGGCAAAGCCACGAGATACAGCTAGTTGATTATATATTAATGGGTATTATTACTTTATCCAAGCGTAAGGGGTGGTCCCTTACGCGTGGATGTCGTAAGAGGCGACTAAGGGAATTTGATGGTCGAAGGATGGTAGCAGTGTCCTTCATAAACCAAAACCTAACGACGATTGCCAACCCGCCTGCCTATTTTAGCAACTATTGGCAAACTCCTCAATAGAGAAGGGTTATGTTAGGTAGTGGACAGTTAATGATTTATATAATGATGATGATGTAATTTGGCTATTGAACTATGGTTGATGTTTGTTAATAATTACAGGACGTGGTGGAAATACCAATGGAAACATTGTTCACGGAGATTTGTCCAAGGATCAACCTCTCCGATTTCTTCTCATTGATATGCCAAAACAAGTGTTGTGTTATTGACATAAGGTCCAATTTGCTGTGAGTACATTATTTTTTTTGCTATATGTAACGGCCCGTTGCCTTTGTTATTCGGGATTCCGGGAATGTATTCTCTAACCGTGGGGTCCCGGCATAGAATAGGCCACACTTTTCCCGTGAATGTCGTAAGAGACATCTAAGGGAACTTGATTGTCGAGGAATGGACAGCAGCGTCCCTCAAAAATCTTAAAAGACTAACTGCGGTTGTAAACCCGCCTAACAAGCGTGACAACTACTAGCAAAACCTCCTCATGACAAAGGAGGGAGGTTTATGTCCAGCAGTGGACATTTAACAGTTGATATGATAATGATATACTATATCAATAATAATACTACGACTTAATTTAGTTTGTGTATAATTTATTTTTTACTACATATTATTGCATAATTAATGTTTAATTTTTTTTATAGAACATTTTATAAATAATTAATTAGAAACATTGAAAATTATTTATTTTTGAAATAGATAATTGCGACATTGCCGCTCTTCAGTATGAACGTTATTCATTGTGTAAGACTGTTTGAATGTAGATACGAGAAGAGTTGCATCGAGGGCAGCATCAACGTACCGTTCAGCGGAGTGCAGCTGGGTCACGTGTCGCAGCGTGCACTCGGTCTGCCGGCGCAGCAAGCGCTGCAGAATGCTGCTCGGCAAGCGCACACTGTAGTCGTGGCCGGGCACGCCAATGACGACAGCGCCCGCTTGGTGAGTGCCATGTACCACTAAATAACGAGCCCTTACAGTCGTGTAGTGATCCCTATTGATAGCAACCACTTGGTAATTATTATCTAAAAGTACATAGTGAGCCTTCATAACACTCACTGTGTACAGTTGTGTAGTGAGCACTGTTGACAGCGCTCACTTGGTAAGTATCATTTATAACTAAATGGCGAGCCCTCACGGCACTCACTGTGTACAGTTGTGTAGTGAGCACTGTTGATAGCATCCGCTTAGTGAGTATCATCTACAACTAAACAGCGAATTCTCACAACACTCACTGTGTACAGTTGTGTAGTGAGCACTGTTTATTTTATAAATAATTATAAATTTAATTAAACATGAATTATGTTGTATACTTGTTACAGTTCAGCGAATACCTAGTGAAGTGCGCTGTGGCCCGGGTGTGTATTCTTCACGGCGGTATACCGGCACTGCAGGCGAATGTGCCGTCCCTCTTCGTCACTCCACCAAAGAAAAATTAATTTCAATACGAAAAACTATGATCAGTCAGACACGAAATTTCTAATTGTGATATTTATGTAGGTAATAGGGGGCCTACCATGAAATGAAATTCCGAAGTTTCGGACTCAATTTCGTGTTTTCGTTCATACCTAAATCGGCAGTAAATGGAGCTTAACATTTCGTTCGTCATAAATCTTACTATAAAAGTCCAAAATAATAATATTTTGATATTTTTTATGTTTTTAAACGGTAAATATTACGTAATTTTAACATCAAATTTGTGTTTCGTTCGGGTCCGAAATTTCGGAAAACATTTCATGGTAAGCCTTCAGTATATTGCTACGTGTACGAATTTCAGATTTTACATTTCTAAGATTGCCCCGATTTTGGATGTCATTTTTATTTATTTAGTAATAAATCTATAATATTAAACTGATTAACGGATTTAATAGACTGATAGTTTTGTTTCGATATATTTTAATGAAAAGGTAACCGAGTTCCGTTGAAATTATTACATGAAATTCATAACAAATCTAAATTTCTTCTTCTTCGTATCCTCAAGGCTGAGGGATGTGATTATGATATGCAGCATGTGCCACCACTCTTTTCCAAATCGCACGATTTTGTGCTTTGGGAATAAACTCTTGCAAGGTAGTTGCAGTTGCCTGCTGAATTGTCTTATCGGTGCTCGGCCTCTACTCTTACCCTCCACACAGCTGTCCAAGATTAACCTTTCATTTAATCGAAATATTCAATGTTTTTTTTTTTATTTATGTTATTAGATATTAGCAGACTGTCTTATTGTCTGGTCAACTATTTGTTTGTTTATATTTTCATTTGCTTCTATTGAAACAGACTATACCATGTTTGTTGTATTAATATATATTGTAATAATATGAAACGTTATTCATCATCATCATCATCATCAAATCAGCCTTTAATTGTCCACTGCTGAACATAAGCCTCCCCTTGGGGGGGTTTACCAGTAGTTGCCACGCTTGGCAGGCGGGTTGGCAATCGCAGTCAGGCTTTAAAGATGTTTTAAGAGAGACTCTGTTGCCCATCCCTCGCCCTCCTTAGTCGGTTCTTACGATACACACGAGAAAGGAAGGGGTGGCCCATTCTATGCCGGGACCGGGAATCTTATACAAGTTAAACTAAAATACCTACATAAGAGATTCAAAATTTTTTTTATGCATACCACCTGATACTAATTGGTAATAACAAAAACAGGGGAAGAATAAACAAGTATCCCAATTCATATGAAATCTGAGCGAAATATATTTCTGCGTTTTGCTATACTGCAATCCATATTGAAAAAAAGTATATAAAAATGAGTTTGTTTATTAAGCAACGGTATATTTAGGTGACGCCCAATAAAAGTTTTATTATTTGTTAGTATTTATTAAAAAGTAGGGTGGTAACGAACCCGTTATAATTACCTAATCTTTCGTCAAAAAAAAAAAAAAAGTATGAGGCCTAGAGATCTAAGTATATAAGCTAAAAGCTTATTGCTTTTAGCTTAATTTTTAAATAAACATTTTTAATTAAGCATAGTCTATGGTCACCGCTATCTCCGCCCCCGCGCCCCGCCCCACCCGCACCGACGTCTTCAGATACTATGCGAGCTGCGGCCTACAATGAGACGCTATGACGCAAAGCACCTTACGCCCCCTAAAGAATTCCGGATGAAATGGAAACCATTGTTAGAAACGACAAAAAAAAAAACAGTGAGTTCATTAATTTCTAGTTACATGTATATATATAAATGTTTCAAATATTATTATTATAAAAATGGAGAAACTATAACTATTATAATGGGCGACACAGTGTACTCTATTATACCCATAATACTGTTCATGTCAGTCGGTGACGGTTACTACTTTCCATCAGGTAGGCCGCCTGCTTGTTTGCCATTTTAAGTTGTATAAAAAAAAAAGAAAATATAATTTTTTTAATTCTGTTACGAACAGTCATTAAAAAAAATATAGTTAATTTTTTTATGTTATTTAAAAATAGACAACGAGTATCAAAACATATAATAGTAGAAGTCTATATGTAGTTAGTTGTTCTATTTATATTTCAATTATACGGAATCACACGCTACGGGACACATTCGCACATGGCCGATTTCTCTCATAACTGTTAAAAAAAAAAAGAAAAATACCTATGCGTACGTTTGGTCAATGAACTCACGATAGATTGGCTGCTGCCAAAGCGTGTGTGTGGCCGATATGGCTAACGTGTGAAATACCTAAAAGAAATGTGTAAATACATATAATAAAATGAAATAAAAAAGAAATGGTCACGATTTTATAATTATCATCGTCGGCAAAAGATCTTTAATTATAAAGAGGTATATATTTGTGACTGTATCATTTGTACATGTGGAAGTGAGTTTGTTTATTTTATGAGAGATAATGGAATGGTAACCCCACCCGCGCTATCGGTATACACCGGCGGGGCACCAGTGAAGGATGATAGGCGAGGATGAAGCAGGTCAGTTAGCCCATCGTGACGAATTCAACAGGAATTGTTCACGATGGTTTCCAGGGGGAACCACGTGGAGGTCGAGAGTTTGTTTATTACCTCATACCACCTTAATGGCTTAACCTATCACTGTGAAGTTTGGTATACACGTATAACATGGGATGAAGAAGAATATAGACTACCTTTTTTTTCCCGGTCAATTAATATATCTCGTTGTAAAAGCTAGTGATAAATAAATCCAATACCTGTCGCCTTTACTTGGTTTAATGTGGTTTATTCGATAATACACCGATATATATTTCGTTACCGGAGAGTTCTTGCTGCTTATACTACACATAAGTATTTTACTACTATTTACTACTACACACATAGTTCTAAAAGGAATAATTGAACGTTTTGTTCTACTATTGAAACTTTTTCGTCCTTATAAAATCAACACGGAAAATGATTATTTATAATATTATTTTTACACCATATATGTTGTTTTATTTACAAATTCTATAGATAGAGGGAGACTTTGTACAAAAGTCGATTGCTTGGGTACCTCTGTCCCATTCGTGTTTCAACCGTGAAGCAGTTGTGTTTGTATGGCTGTGTTTCGGTTTGAAGGGTGGGATATGGCGTGAATTTACTGGGTACAGAGGAATAACATTTGAGTCCTCAGGAATGGTAACGCAAGGGGGGTATCATGGGCGAAACAGTATACTCTTTAATGTCCATGTCTATAAGCGACGGTTACCACTTTCCATCAGGTGGGCTGTTAGCTTATTTGCCATTCTAAGTTGTATAAAAAAAAAATACTTTCTCCTTTCAGTTTCTCAATTTAGGTTAGATGATATAACATTCCCGTCGCATATCCCTTCACATTAATTTTTTTAACTGCACATTGGGATAATAGATCTGAAAATTGTCTAAAAATCCACGTTTTAGGTTTAGTCTTGATGTTAAAATTTGTTTATATATATTTAAAAGCGTTCATACCTATGTCTGCATTATCTATAAATTTTCTGAAATGACCATTTATCATTATCATTACTAGTTTAACAAAATTTTTTTTATATTGAAGAAAGATTTGATTTTTATGTAATGTTAAATATACTTAAAAACTATTTAACCAATTTTAAAAACTTTTTTTACCTATAGAAAATATTATGTCTAACATAGGCTGTTTAGAAAAAAAAAACACCGTACGAAGCCACTGCTAGCCACTAGTTACATATATGTATGCATGTATTACGCGTTTATAATCGAACAAATTTTCAAAAATTTAACTGTTATGGTAAATTAATTGTTTGCTTGTAATAACTAGTTTGGTTCAACATATATATTTTTACTGCAGTAAATTGTCTCATTTTAATGGAAAAATACGATTAATAGTTCTATTTCTATTTTAATATTTCTATAACTAATATAGCAAACTAACACGTTAATCTTGTAAAAAGAATATTATATCACTGATATTAATTTTTTTATGTATGACAGATAAGTGTTTACAAACTTCAAAAACGTAATAATATGATTAAAATTTTTTTAGTTATAAATTCATGCAATTTGTTGTATGATTCATTTTTTATTAGTTCAATCATAAGCGTGCTTTTTATTAATCACTAGCTGTATCTCGTAGCTTCACCCTTGTGAATCAGTGTATAAACTATCCTATATGTTAAATTGGGATGTAATGTACGTGTACATAATTTCATTCAAATCCATTCTGTAGTTTTATTTTGAAAGAGTAACAAATATTTACCTATCGTTACAAATTTTCGCATTCATATGTATACGATAATTTTTTTTTATTATCTTTGATAATTGATATCTATCAATTTTTATAATTGATATCTAATTGGGACGTTGTCAGTGTGAATCAGTCTTTGATATGAACGCCCTTAATGCTTTTAATATAAAATCATTCCTGTTAACAGTTTTAAGTTAGTACACTCGTATGTTTTAGTTAATAAATGATTATTTATACGCATACTATATATTCGTTGTTACTTCATTTATTCCTAAAAACACTAAGGGATTATTGTACTAGAATCACTAAATTAATCTATCAATTTACAACACATGAGTACTTTAAGTACAGTTAAGGAATAAATTACTATTACGATATATTATTCGACCTATAATTATATATATATATCCTAAAATTTAAAAAAAATGCGTAGTAACCGAGAGGCAAAATATAATACAATTACGTCAATATTATTGTACATACTATATTTTGTTGTATTTTTTATGTATAATATTGTTAGGCCTAATTATTGTAAGTTTTTGTACCCCAACCTAATAGATCTAATTATTATATAAGAGTATTGTTAAGGTACAAATAAGTGCAATATATTTATATATGCATTATATTTATTATTTCAATAAAAAATAACTATTCATTTATTTATATTTTATTATGCAAAAAATATAAGGAGTTAGTGGATGCAGGTAGTTCAAGACTGTTCCTTGTTGCCATCTATGGGGGGATCTATGTTTAACAGTGGACAGATAATAGCTTAAATGATGATGATGATGCAAAAAACGACTTGCAAAATTCTTAATGTTCTTAATTAAATAATACAGTTTTTATAATATCTACTATACTCGTATACAAGATTTACCAGAGGGAGACTTTGTACAAAAGTCGATTGCTTGGGTACGTCTGTCCCATTTGTGTTTCAACTGTGAAGGAGCTGTGTTTGCATGGCTGTGTTTCGGGTTGAAGGGTGGGATATGGCGTGAAATTACTTGGTTCGAAGGAATAACACTTGAGTCCTCAGGAATGGCAACGCATGAGGGGTATCACGGGCGAAACAGTATACTCTGCTATGTCCATGGTACTGCCCATGTCTATAGGCGACGGTTACCACTTTCCATCAGGTGGACCGTCAGCTTGTTTGCCATTCTAAGTTGTATAAAAAAAGATAAGAAAATACAAACAGTTCTTCACCATCGTGGGTGAAATAAAATAATTATTCTAAACAGGTGAGTAATTTGTTAAGCTAGCACTGGGGACTAAATTGGCATTTTTGAATTTTTGATTTTCGAAACTTCTACCTTACTATGTTCTACGGAATCAAAATATGGTCCTATACGGTCGACTGTATACAGAAGTTTCAAGTTGTTTAGCGAGTTAAGAAGAGAGCTATCGTAATAAGGGCATCCGCAGAAGAACCAAAACGACCGACATAGCTCGTAGGATACGCAAGCAGAAGTGACAATGGGCTGGTCACATAGTTCAAAGAACTGACTACCGATAGGGAAGAAAGGTCCTCGAATGGCGACCCCTTGCAAACAAACGCAGTATAGAGCGACCCTCCACTAAATAAAGCGACGACTTCAAATGCACTGCAGGGAGTCGATGGATGCAGGTGGTTCGGGACTGTTTCTCATGGTAGTTTATTGGAGAGCCCTATATTGAGTAGTGGACAGATAACATCTAATATGAATGAATATATATTCTAAAGCAGCGATTCCGAAGTGGGTTCCGTGGAACCTAGGGGTTCCGTATAAAATTACTAGAGTTCCCCAAATTATTTATACAGTGAAACAATTTCATTCTTTTTACGTTAAAAATTGAAGGAAGCTATAAAGTGTTATACTTTTAAAATAATTATAATAAAAGCTTTTGTTCCTATTTAAATTACAGTGTTTTTAATTTGTAATCGTTTGATATGGGCTTTCCTAAAACAAAAGGTATTTGGTGGGCGTTCCTTTATCTTAAAAAGTTTAGGAACCCCTGTTCTATAGCATGGGCGTGCGGCTAATAATTTCACCCTTAATACCTTTTTTTTTTTATAATGGGTGACGATGCAAAAGAAATTCAATCTGCGCTATTGGTATACGCTAGCAGGGTACCAGTGAGAGATGGAAGCAGGTCAGTTAGCTCATCGTGGCAATTCATGAATTAACGATGGTTTCGAGAGGAAACCGCGTGGAGGTCAATTTGATTGATAGTCCCATTGCCAGCAATATAAGGTATATAGCTAGCATAGGGGCTATTGGATTCCATTACTAAGAACTCCACCCTGTTCTCTGTATACTTAGTACCCATAGACTTAGTATAACGTACTTATCTAACCTACTACCCATGCACACTAAATTACTCGCCTCTTTCTGCCCTCGAGCTGGTTGCACGCTCTCTTCCGGTTTGAAAGGCGAGATAGGTGGTGAAATTACCGGATACTGTAAGCCAAAGATTGATTTTCTCTTGGTTATTATTCATATAGGCTACAGTGGCTTCTCATGCGGATCATAGGCATTTATGATTTAATATCAGTTTACTATTCTTATTAATATATGTTTTTGTATTCTATAGCTAGTTTCAGGTTAGTAGGTATGACTAACATCTCTGTTTCATGTACCATACACATTAATACATTGTAAAAATGACAAACGTATGGTCCATCTGATGGCAAGTAGTTATCATATAGTACTTAATTGATCGATTGGGGAAAGAAGAAATTTTTAATAACGGAGATTAGCAATCCTATTGCTAGTAATATACCTTATCAGGTCGACCTCCACGCTGTTCCTCCTGGAAACCATCGTGATTGATTTATTGTTGAATTCATCACGATGGGCTAACATCATCATCGCCTATCATCCTTCACTGGTACCCTGCTAGTGTATACCAATAGCATAGACGGGGTTACATTCCATTGTCATACATTAAAAAAAAATATCGATTGTTATACTCAAAATACATGTTTACAACATCAGTTTATCGAACCTAAAGAATTTGTTGTTCTCCATTATAGTTTCGATAATGTGATGCATCGACAAATTACTCGAACGAAACGCTGATGTAATTTCATTTAAATCTAGGTTAATTACAATTATTATTTATACTAGTTACCTGTATAGTATCAACCTAGTTATTTATTTCTAAATTAGGCACAAAAATATTGACATAATTAAGAAGTATTCATAATTGAATATTCAACTAAACAAGGTCTTTTCCATCATTTTATTATAACTGTGTTAGTAGCAAATTCCCACAGATAACTCATTGTGATTGGAAGACATGAAAGTACCCACATAATTAGCGGCGTATTGTGTGGGCAGCCGACCAGCCCCCTATGGGGCAGCGTCACGTTTTTACCCCCTAGTTATGAATGGAGGCAGGCTAGTATCAGAGGGGCGGTGGGGGGATTGATAGACGCCTCGCGCGGCCGACATTCGCCGGCTATACTCCGCTCACAGTGCGTGTCTCGCTTGCGTTCAAACAGTTGTACGACATTCCTCGCGTGCAGTGAAACTTCACGAAAAATATTTTATTGCAAAAACAAATGGGCATCGATAGTGAAACCTAAACTTGTGATGATGCACGGTGTTCTGTGATAGTTTGTTGTCACCTGACAGTAAGTAAGTGAAGTTTACATTCCGAGTTTCGCTCAGATCGGGAAAGGACAAGTGACAGTTGGCTGTGTTTTGTGCGAGGTTTTCTCCAGGGATTTTCTTGTCGCCAGCCGGAGGCCGCTCAGTGCACCGGCCCCGACATGGAGGTATACTTCGACAACGACCTGAAGGACGTCTGGGAGGCGGACATCGACCCGGTGAGTCGACCTTGCTTGATATCTGTTATCGTCTAGAGGAGAGTGAGCTAGCGGTCTAGATATTAAGCAGAGTAGATAGTTGGCGTCACGGTAGCGTATTGATGTTTTTTTTTTATGGTAAATCGCGTACATATTCGTCGCGGTTCACTTCGCGGAATTTATTTTGCGCTCCAAACAATTCGTGAAAGTGCGAGGGCGGATTCGTGCCCGGTATGTTGATAACGACGATAACAACAAACATAACTCCAACCTACAATCACGGCTACAACTGTAATGTTTTTACACGTATATCCATTTTATATGGCTTTTAAAAAATACAAGCGCTGAAATAGTTAATATTTTACATTCTACCGGCAATTTGTAAATTAATTTTTAAATGTGTGCAAAAAGGAGAAGATATAAATAAATATGTTTAATAATACGTAGGTAGAAGATAATCAAGTTCGGCGGCCTTTGAAGTGATTGTGTTATCATTCAGTTACGATTAGGTAGTGAATTCTAACAATTAATAAATTAATCTAAATACCTAAGTTGATATTGTATATATTTTGATAAATATGCTTACCTAATACGGAGTACTCTGTGTTAGGTGTGTACATATAGGAAAGATTTTGATAGTACCTATATACCACAGGAACATATATTCGAGTGTTTAAAATATATTTTCAAAACAACTGTGTTTTTATGAAACAATAGCGGTCCGACCCGGCTTCGTGTAAATAGAATTTTTAAAATTAATATATGGCATAAGTATTTATCTTTCTCGCTGATAATGTAGTTTTCTATAAGAGATTTTTTTTTATTGGGTAAGTAGTTTTTGAGTTTATCGATTACAAACAAACAAACTAATAAATCTTTCCTCTTTATGATATTATTATAATGTTATGTTCATGAAATATAGATACCGAGGTAGGTGCCTGCTGATGGCTGAGTTGATATGTTCACTATACCAGAATGCAGAGGTCTAAGAAGATACTTATAACATAACATCCTTCTGAAAATAGTTTTTTTTAATGGATGATAATAAAACGGTGACCCCGTCTGCGCTATCGGTATCCGCTGCCGGGGCACCAATGAGGAATCATAGATGACAATGAAAACAGCTCAGTTAGCTCATCGTGACTAATTCCATAAGAATTAATAAAGATAGTTTCCAGAGCAAACCACGTGGAGGTTCTGAAAGTTTTATTTTTAAAAGATGATAAGGGAACGGCAATCACGCTTGCGCTAACAGTATACGCTGGCGGGGCACCAGTGAAGGATGATAGGTGAGAAAGAGAAGGCAGGTCAGTGAATTCCAGGTGTATTCATCACGATGAGTAAACCTCATCGTGATGAATACACCTGGAATTCAGCACTATGGTTTCCGGGGCGACCACGTGGAGATTGACTTGGCAGGCTATATATACTGCCAGCAATGGGACTGGTAGTCCATTACTGGCAATACAGTACTAGCAATCCCTCTCCCTCGGGGGGGGGGATGAGATTGTTAGTAATGGGCATAGTAACTCTCGAACCTGGGGGGAAAGGGATTGTTAGTGATGGAGACTGAGAATCCCATTGCTAGCAATATACCCAACCAGGTCGACCTCCTCGCGGTTCCCCCTGGAAACTATCATGGTTGATTCCTGATGAATTCATCATTATGGGCTAACTGGCCTGTTTTCATCCTCATCTATCACCCTTCACTGGTGCTCCGCCAGCGTATCCCGTTAGCGCAGGCATAATTACCATTTCATTTTCACCCATCAAAAAAAAAATCTCGATCCTATCTTTACCTACAACCAAAGACTTCGCTCCTTATTCTGAGGTTAGGCTCTATATACGCCTGTGGTCACATAATCATATTTATAAACAACTCGTGAGATACTTACCTACATAGAAAGTGACCCTTAATCTGTAACGGAGTGGAAATTATGTTCAAAAAGTGTTAATTGAACATTAATTGAATAGGTAGATACCTACCACTCATCTACTCTGTATCTCATTAGGTACCTATTTCATTCACACAATACGTATTTCACATATTAAAAATATTACGACCTCTGTGGAGCAGTGGTAGGCATATTGCTTTGCGTAAATGAGGTTCCGGGTTCGAATCTTGGTCAGGCCAATGTAGGAAACGAATTTTTCTGAATTGGCTTGTTCGTCATAGCACAGGGTGTCTTAGCTTGAGGACTAGGCGATGGGGCTTTCGTGGTTTTAAAATCTTCGTGAGAGGTGACTGAGTGAGTTCCATTATATAATCATTATGTCAGCCGTCTACTGTCCACTGTTGAACATAGCCTCTTAGCCTCTTCTATAAGGAGGGTTTTGCTAGTAGTTGCCACGCTTGGCGGGTAGGTTTACAACAGCAGTTAGGCTTTGGTAATGATATAAAAGAAACGCTGCTGCCCATCACTCGACCATTAAATTTAATATAACTTAAAAAAAAGTTCAATCAACCTATCAAATTTTCGGGAATTAACGTCATTACCTATTTCCAACCCTACTAAACCAATTAAGAGAAACGGTATAATATTAAAAAATCCAAAAATTTACGGAATGTAAATTAAGGGACCCGCCTCCATGTTCTAGGAAGTAATGTTTTATATCTCCATAATATAACGTAGTCTGATGCAGGTTTGGCTTATAAAACAGTTTTTGTTTTATTACATAGACGGCAAAGGAGCATGCAGCTCACCTGAGAGTAAGTTTTTATGAGTAACAAGATTTTTAAGTGTGATACAATTTTTTTATAGGAACCTGGAATTGAAAAATAGCCAAAATATACAAGGCTTTATTAAGCCTGATCTATGTAAAAAAAATTACACGCACACACATACACACGTAACGCGAAAATTTTATTCTTCGCCAACAAAAATGTCCCTTGTCCGCGCAGACTTGTGTGTGTCATTAATTATATATTATTTTTTATAGGAATTTAAATTAAAATTGTGTTTCACAAAAAAAAAAAAACTAATTTAAATTGTGTCAGAACCAAATAAAATTGAGCCAAAAAAAATTATTTAAAAATTAAACTACTAAACAGATTTTGATAAACTTTCTATAGAACCAATCTGTAAGTATATCTTTTCAGATAAAAAAGAATTTTCCAAATCGGTTTACAACTGACAAAGTTATAAAGTAACAAATATAACCGAATTAAGAATCGCCTTATTTTTAAGTCGGTTGAAAATAACCTAACCTTAGTCTATTTGTATGCAAAAAATGGCTTGTGTATTAAAACATGTTACTAATTACAGTTGTCATCAGAGTCCGATAGTCGTAATAAAGTTCAATTTGTATTAACAATCATTTATTACCACTTGGAAGTACATAGTTGATAACTATAAATAAATGAAAACTAATAAACGTCTCATTGACATTTTATTGACTGTTCAAGTTAAGAGAGGTCGCAGGTTTTCTTGCATGACCGCGGTATTCTTTTGCAAAAGTTTTGATTTTTCTTGGTGTTTGACATTTTAGTTTTTGGAAAGAATCGAGTGAATAGACACGCTACGCCTGACCTCTGGACAAACAACAAAAGCATCTATCTAGAACAAGACGTCAGGTGATGCTGTCTCGTACTATCACATACTATCGCGATAACATATCTATCGATAGATTTGATTTGCACTTTTTGCCACTTGTTTAGAGGGGCTGGTGTTGCGAACGTCCACGATATTTTAAATTAATTCCATAGGCTTTGATGAACGCTTTGCTATCTATTTGCTTAATTGCTAACTTTTCCTACTTATTGTATAAAAATTGTTTGTCTAAATATGTAATAATAATATTAAGGATAAAATTGAAGGTTAAATTCTTTGATCACCAGATAAAAGAATTATATAATTGCAAGGAAAATACATGAATAAAAATTTCAATCAACATACTCTTGTATTGGTAAAAATTGAATATGATAAAAATTTAATAAACTGGTAATAAACTAATGTCATAATTACTTATTGGATATCGTTTCAATTCAAATATGTTTCTATTTTACAATTAACCGAACTAACAAACTTACTTTCACGTTTATAAACTACTAACGTCAATGTATTAATAAACAGAAGCATGTGGTTTCAATGACCATGGGTTTTGCCATAGACACAGCTAATGTTATTCCGAAGCACCGACGGTTCGTCGGCCGGTGTTAGTTCATGGTAAATATTATTGAACTTGTGATTATCCACACACGAGCTAAGAATTCGGGAGAGGTCATTGAGACCTCCATTAGGATTGCCACCTGTAACTTGTTCTGCGCTATGCGGTGACGTCACTGTAATGGTCGATAACCCGGCCGAGTTGCGGAGGCGATTTGCACGGTCTGTTTTGTTGTGGGCACGCGTGCTACCATGTTCGGTTGGGTTGCCGGGGCTACATGTCTTACGGTAACGTGGAGCGTCGACCTGGTGCGTTGAACTAAGGGGCCCGGCGCCGTAAGCTTTTTTTTTATGCTCCTACGTAAGTCCGTACTCTTATTAACTCGTCGAAGTTCATAATTAGTATCTACAGTCACATGTAGTATAATATGCTTAATAAAACTTACTAAACCCCACGTTAAAATATTCTGTTCATGAACATAATAATTCTAAAAAAAAATCGATAAATTGACTGAATTTTTAGATTTATTATTAATTTCATGTAGATAGTTATGATAATTTCAACAAAACTTGATTATCTTTATTAAAACAAACTATATAAAAAATAAAAGAGAGTATCTTTTAATATTTTAATTAAGCTCGAAGAAAAATATGGGACTCTCGGTATATCTTTTTACATACGTAATTAAAAATTTTAATGCATATTTTATGCATAGTAAGTAATCGTATGTTATACGAAAATGAGATAAAACATATCAAAAATTGACATGATAGTAACTAGATATATGAAGCCAGTTACCACGTGTAATCACCCAAGATAAAGGTGTTGTCAAACGTAGATGTCGTATAACTGATGTCAAGAAATAAAATAAGTATGGTTGCTAGGTAAATCATTAAGCCCACAACTGCCCAATA